TCTTTAGCCCTGATAACAAGTGGAGTGCCCCAGGGTTCAATTATAGGACCACTCTTTTGTCACTTATATACATTCCCCTTCGTCATATCAAAAGCATGGTGATGATAGTGGCATGTGGATAATGATGGCAGATGATAATCAGATGTATCTCCCAGTGAAACAGATATGGCAGATATGAAAGACTGGCTGTCTACAGATTTCCTTCAATTTAATTAATTAAAACAGAACTTCTTATTATCCAGCCTGGGGTCTACATTTTGATAATGACACCAGCAAGCTTGTCCAGTCCTGTTATTACAGGTTTTTTTTATATATGTCTCAAAGATTCTATCATCACTGTATTTGTTACCTGTTGATTTTAACATATTTTGATTACTTAGCTCCAAAGTATTTTTGGAGCTAAGTAATCAATTACTTGGCTCCAAAGTATATTTCAGAGTTGCTCTCCCTTTGCCAACAAGTTCATCAGACATTCACCTGTTGGCGGTTCCTATGTTTAGATTTCAAGCTAGACTGCCTTTCCTTCTAGGGCTCCCTGGCTCTGGCATGACCTGTCTAAGGAGTTCACGCTAGCTAAACCATTATCCTCATTTAAAACAATTATCTATACTATATACTCAACTTTTATGCTTGATATCTCATCACCTTCCATACATTCTACATTTTAGATTTTCATTTTGTGTCTGTTTTACTGGGTTTTGCCTTGCTTATTTTCTTCCTGTTTCTATGTTTTTATGGTTTGTTTCGTGTATAGCATTTTTGTAAAATTGGTTTTAGGAAGTACAAAGAAATTGCTGTACAACTAAACACTATTATTATGATGATTCTTATCAAGGTCAAATGCAATGCTGCTTCCTCTGCTGTCAGTAGGAGTTTGAGAGTAAAGGATACCAAAGTGCACAAAGTGTGGAAGTGCATCTCTAAGGACTGCTCGCTCACATCTAGAGAGTTGAGAATTGTTCTTGAGGCTTCAACATTGATTAGTCTCATGAATGTTTCTTTACTTCTGTGTTAAATCTTTCTCTTGACTCTCTCATAAATGTGATGGCTTATCTCTTCAGATTACATTTTGAAATAATTAAATCTGTCCTTGCAAACTCATGTTGTACCTACTCATTTTAGTTTTAGTTGAGCTTTGACTGTGTTACTGTGGCATTTACCAGTGCGTTATGCAGGGTAATGTGTTTTTCATAGAGAATGATCCATACTAGGGACAAAAGGTCAAGATATCTCGGCCTCAGCTGCTTCGATTTTGACCATTAGTATTTAACACAGTTAAATATAAATTTAGTTAAACTATTTGGCCATAGTGAAAAAGCAGTACCTTGCACTTTTTGTACTTTACTTTATCAAACTTTAAGACATATTTGTATTCTTCTATATTTGTATTTAATGCACTTTTATATCTTAGCTTTTTAAGTGTAGTTGTTTCAACTGAATGATGTCTTAATTGTTTAATATTTTATTTTATTTCAAGTTCTGTTTTGTATCATGGTTTTATATTTAAAATTTATATAATTGTTTACCAGTATCTTGTTGATTTCATGTGCATGCAAATGAGATCTTCATACCTGATTTAATAAAGGTTATATTCCGTAAAACTTAGCCCAGGCATGTATTTGCTTAAATCACTGAACTCAACCTGATACATTCCTTAACCTCAACTCAAGAATGTAGCTATCAAATGAATCTATAAAATCCAGACTAGCCATTGACAAACGTACAATTTTTCTATTCACATATCAGCCTTACAACTAGGGTTGCAGCTATCGAATATTTTGGTAATCGAGTATTCTATAGAATATTCCATCGATTCATCGAGTAATCGGATAAAACATACTTTTGCTTAATTAAAGCCCGATTATGAATATACAATAGAAAACAAGACAGATCACTGTTTTCAGTTTTCAGTCCCGGCGTCTGCCGTTCTGTACAGCAAAACTGTCCACACACGTTACAGAGCCCACTCCGTCTTCTTCCGAGTTGTGGGGGACGCATAGTCTGTGACGTAAGCACGTTGTGTCACACTAAAAAGAATCCGTGCAAAACGTGAGCTTTACGAGGCTTCAAGGCAGACGAAATTCCTTGATCATTCTTTGTAAGCGAGTTACTTGAGGTACTCCAGGAATCGTTGCAGCCCTATTACATCTTTGTCCATTTTAATTCTTATGAAGACAGGGGTGGGGGAAAACATCTGTCTCTTTGCAATATTAAAAATAAAGCTACAAATCAGTCTTTTATCCTTCTGATGATATTTTGAGTTAAGCAACCCTTTGCTCATAGCTGTGTTTGCACCACCCTCATAAAATTTGCTTCATTATCACTCTGTGACAAGGAGTATTACATTTCACACTAACACTTTCTTTCTCCATTTCTTTCTATTTAAAGCCTTCTCGCCCAAAAAAATCACAAGGAGAGACAGAAGTGAAAAATCCGAAGGGCAAAATCCACTAAGCTTTGAGAAGAAAATGACTATACAGAGGCAGGCAGAGGCATGCAGACGTGCGATAGAAAGGCCACTAAATTGTGAGTGTTTCCTCTTCTGAGATCTCAAACCAAGTTTGAGACTGCCAGAATCTCTACAAAATGCACTATAGCAACCTGCAACAGTCACAAAGAAATGAAACCGATTCCAAACTACATCAATTACATGAGATTGCTATATACCCTGAAAGATGAAGCTCAAACTGAGTCCTTCAGAAAAAGGATAAACGGAAATTGCAATGAAAGGAGGTTGGGATTAATCCCTACCCATACACATTTACTATATATAAAAAAAAACTGTGCACAAAATGAACTGTGTGCTCACATGAGACAACTTCCACAAGCAACATCAAAACTTCTGTGAAGTAACACACAAACAGAAAGGCAACAGATCCCCACTGGCATCTTCAAGAGTCAGTCAGCACGCAGCGGCAATGTTTTCCACTTGTCAGGCTCACTCTGCTGGAACAACACACACACACACACACACACACACACACACACGCACACACGCACACACGCACACACGCACACACGCACACACGCACGCACACACCAGACCAACGGTGTGCAGAGAGAAGAAAATGGCAAAGACAAAATCATCTGCAAGGGCAACTTGTGAAGCTTCCAAAAAGCTAATTTGGCTACAATGTAAATGCTTCTCCTTGGGTTTGAGCTCATTTTCACTTCACTGTGAACTGTCCAATAAAGCCAAAATGCCAGTGACGGTCTTCAGAAAACCTATTACCACAGAATAAAGCATGTAGCTAGATGAGAAGGAATTCACCTCCCTCCACAGAGAACTGAGTGGACATTGCTTAATCTGCCTGTTCCCAAAAAGTCTGGGACAGACTCACAGAGGATGAAAAACAGAATGCTGAGTGCCAGTTGGGGACAAACCCAAGCCAGTTTAATAATTTACAGCCGGCTTTCACAGATCGTGCATGGCACCAACCCTCATCGACCCTTTCAAAGGATAGTATCCCACGGAACAAAGGAACTGACATTATAGTGCAAATCTGAATGCTAATATATATATATAAAATAATATAATACAATATGCTTAGTAAATGCAGTAAGGCAGAATGTAGCTTTGAGTCAATATGCTGAATTTGATGCTGGAACAATATAACTGGTACATGGACTGCACTTATATAGCACTTTTCTAGTCTTCTGATTCAAAGCGCTTTACGCTACATGACCCACTCACAGACATTCATACACTGATGCAAGGAGCCAGCTGCTCATCAGAAACAGCAACTAATCATTCACACATTCATACACCAATGGCACAGCATCTAGTGCAATTTGGGGTTCAGTATCTTGCTCAAAAACACTTCGACATGCAGCAGGATGAGCCGGGCAGTGGACCGGCAACCTTGTGATTAGTGGACAATCCTCGTTACCTCCTGAGCCACAGTCGCCCCAATAAAAACTGATAGAGAAGGTTTTTACAACCCGGAAATTATAAAGATGGGATGTGTGGTCTTGTTCAATAGATGAAAGCAGGATAAATGTGAATATACACTCACTCTAGAGTGATTGATAATAGCCTGCAATAAGACAAAATGTAAGTTGATTGGCCAACTCTGCTTGACACTGTTACCCAGAGAGACCGTGTTTGTGTGTGAGAGAATTTACCACTCTAAATAACAAATATGATAATGCAAGGTCATTTTCTTGCCAGGCTGGGTGATGCTGCATATGACAGGAGGATGATATCCCACTAGGGGTGTCTCTAGAGCTGATGCTTCGGTACCAAGTCGATGGTAAAATTCTGAAAACTTGATGGTACTCGTTTTTCTACAGTACCATAGGTATGGAGGCTACCGAGGGTGTATTTCTTCCAGACCTGACAGGGCAGAATATATGCCTACAAATACTCCAGTCCTTATACTGAACTGGCTGAAGACTGTGGTTGAGCCCCAGTGGAAAGGAGCAGAAGACCATTTCCATTCGAGCCCATTTTGCTTCGCCAGTTTGACGGCTGATCAGGGAGGGGAGCGAATACAATGACAAGAAGCCGGCAGGAAGCAACACAAGTAGCTCAAGTTCTCAGAGGAAATTATTTTACTACTGCCGGCTTTATGCTCTCTAAAGATTTCCCACGTTATTTTCCTGAGGCCTCGAATAGATACACAGTCCCTAACAGTTAATTAACTTAAAGCCCAAATGCCACAACAGCTTTAACTCTCTTACATCTTAACGCTATAAAACAAAGATAACATGAGGCATTATGGCAGTACGCGCTGTGAATGATCCATGTAGTTAAGCCAAGGGGGATGGCAGATAAGAACAATTAGAATTTCTCTATGTATGAAGCCTGGGACACAGATAAGATAGAAAGGATAAAAAAATACAAAACTGACATCTCCCTGTGTATCTGCTCTTTCCCTATATTCATTACAATTACCACCACATAACAGGTGCTCCTAATGTTTGAAATTACTTAACAGCCCAGAAAAATCTTTCTAACCAGCAGTAAAAACTGTGGCTACAATAAGCAGCAGTCTTACCTTCCTCTTCTTGAAGGCCTGTCTGGCCAGGTATCCCCTGCAGGCAGCCTGGAACAAAGAGATGTTCCTCCTGGTCTGAACATCCCGCTGCTCTTCCAACCTGGACAAAGTCCCCGCTCTGAAGAACACCTATAGGAGGAGAGGGAGAGTCAAGACAAAGTCGCACACACCTTTCTTAAAGGTAGGGACACAGGGCCAAATCCAACTGCAAAGTTACACAGAAATAGCTTTTAATTCAAAGAACTTAAAGACTTTGCACAGTAATGCACATCCACATGTTCCAAGTGACTGTAAAACAAACATATAAGTTTGAAAGAATAATTATTTCTGAGAGACCTCCTAAGCTTCATGCTGATATGATCAGATTTGAGGTAAATGTCGTACATAACCTACAACTATGGTAAGAGAGATTTAGTAACCCTGATCTAGCTGCACGGATATGTGCAGCATGCATTGGAAATTGTCCTAGGCATAGAGACAAAATCAGTATGGATCTCTGCCTCAATAACAGAGTTTATAAATGGAAACATGCCAACCCTGCACTTCACAATTTTACAGAGAAGTCAATATCCAGTCACTTGTATTAAGTATGTATTAACCAATGAGTGGGGATAGAACTGCTTCTCAATTCCATCATTTTATATCCTCCAAACATTTACTATGAGCCACCAAGTCTTTCTTAACTCTTGCAGCTTGGACTTCTTCTTGGTCTGAAAAATGATATTGATATATTGATATTAAAAATGATAATGCTAATGGTAAATGGACCTGTACTTGTATAGCGACTTTCTAGTCTTCCGACTACTCAAAGCGCTTTTACACTACGTGCCACATTCACCCTTTCACACACATTCACTCAGCGATGGCAAAGTCCATCGGACAGAAACTAACATTCATACACATTCACACACCGATGCACGGCATCGGGAGCAATTCGGGGTTCAGTATCTTGCTCAAGGATACTTCTACATGTGGCGGCAGGAGCTGGTGATCGAACCAACAACCTTCCGATTAAAGGACAACCCGCTCTGCCTCTGAGCCACAGCCGCCCACAATGTGGCAAAATAATGTGCCTTAATCATGCAAACAGGATGTCTTGTCCCTATTGTGCCTTAACAAGATCACACTGGAGCCAACTGACAAACTGCAGACTTGTTCATGCTGCCCTGTGAATTTGCCACTAACCAAATGCGGATTTGCATTTTTGCTATGTGTTCCTGTTATTTGATAATTTCTTCCCTGTCCAGACCAACTATCTCAGTGATTTTGCTAGCCTGATCATTATAATCACATCCAGAAAGATTCCTGTGTCTTTCATCTCCTTTGCTGATGATTTGGGCGGCAGCAGTGCCAATTCCTAAATGCCAATGAGCACACAATTTTTATTTTTGACTGTAAAGAGTCACAATGGGCTGACACTAGGCCCCATGTAAAAGCCTACATCATAATGCCTCTAACTCCTTCTAGATCATTTTTTGTCTGGGGACAGACATTGCTCTGTTCCTCAGCCCTGAATTAGCTGGCAGCTCTTTGTGGAAGTAGATTCATTAAGCAGAGTTTGAGTGACGCTTTGTCCTTCAGAGGATGTGACTGTTCCTAACTCTGAATGTAATTTTTAAAATTGGCTGAGCAAAGGAGAAAGTACGGCTTAGAGTCCGGCCGGGAATTAAGATTGTTGTTTAGATGTCATGTGGACCTATGTGAATTCACCACTGCAATAAATATTTACCCAGCCTGCAAGCATTTTCTGACACAGGATAACATTCGGCCCATTTAACAACCCTTCCCTTGACAGTCCACCCAGATAGTAGGTATTTCTGGGCACATACCGGCAATCAAATCGGGGTCAGCCCGGTCGTGCAGCGGTTAGTACTGTCACCTAATGGAAGCAGTCCTCGAGCGACTGCAGGAGATGTCACGTTGTGGATACATAGACTGTTTCTCTGCTGGAGAGTCAGGGAGTCCGGCTGTGTTTCTACAGTCACTTGAATCACGTTTACGTCCCCCTTTGAGAGAGGTTCAGTTACCATTACTGTTCATCAGCCCTGAATATCTAGTGAAGCTCAGTATAGCACAATTGTCTGTGGGCCAGTGTGTTGTGTTTACTGCCACAAAAGAGAAATAAATCTGTTGTTTATGTCTGACAGCGTCTCTCACCCTATGTCATTTTTTGGTAGCACTTTACATTACAGCTTGAAAATAACATGTTAATAGTGGGGTAATAGTTTGATAATGCAGTAATAAAAATTAGCGATGCATTCTACTGAAGTTTGAAATGTATATGTATTTGTATGAAATATGTTGAAAGTGGCCAGAAATTAAATAGGAACAGGTAGTTTAGCATTTGGCAGCCCTGATTCATGGTTATTACTAGGGCTGTGTATTGGCAAGAATGGCAATACTATACAGGGATCGTGATTCAATATATTTCAATATATTGTGATAGGGTAATCAAAGTGATGACGATGTTGTTGTTGTTATTGTATTACTTTATAATCCCACAACGGGGAAATTCCTTGTCACAGCAGCATTTACATGAAATAAATAAAAACAGATATAAAAAACTATGGTAAAGTGGTAAAGCTATGGTATGATGGTAATTTGAAAACAGAATCTACAACATTGATCAGGTGTTGTAGAGTCTGACAGCAGCAGGGATGAAAGACCTGCGGAACCTCTCCTTCTTACACCGTGGGTGTAACAGTCTGCTGCTGTCAGCTTCACTAACATCCTCCTTTCACCCACTTGCTCTATGGAGTCCAGAGGACAGTCCAGGACAGAGCTCGCTCTCCTGATCAGTTTATTGAGTCTCTTCCTGTCCCTGTCCGTACTGCCCCCCCTCCAGCAGACCACAGCATAGAAGATGGCTGAAGCCACCACAGAGTCATAAAAAAAACACACACACACACACACACACACACACACACACACACACACACACACACACAATATGCTCAACATTATCAAATTAGATTAAATTAAATCACACTTTTTTTGATGCAACCAAAACAGTGTGATCTGCAACATTATAGCCCACTTACAAAACTGCTATCTAGTGGTTGGCGGTTTAAACATAAAAAACAATAAGAGTGCTTTTGAGAATTGATACAATATCACAAAACAAAATATCGTAAGAAAATATTCTTTGATATTTTCTTACACCCCTAGTTATCACACAGAAAACACCACCAAGTGTTTCCAGGTTACAAGTCACAGCATTAAATGTATGATTTGTACAGCATTACTTTGAAACAAAATTTAATGTTTTTTAAGAGGGGATGAATTTCAGTATTATAATATGGTAATTACCAATTTTGATTTCCAAGAATTTTAATAGCTACCATATTGACTTTTTATTATCATGCTGTTACCCCACTATTACCATGTTATTACCGAGCTGTGACGTTAAATTCTAAAAATCTTTTTTTCCTCTGATGAAGTGTCTTTGCATAATTGTTCTTGTACGCACAAGCATTTCACAATTGATGGCTTTTGCTTGTTTCATCTACTATCATCTAAATACATCTAGCAGCACATATGTGATTAACTGTTGACAAAATGGCTAGTATTGTTTAACAGTGGGAAAACGAATAAATACAACTGTATTGCTAAAAAATGTTTTTTGGGGTGTTATCCTATTGTACAGTGTGACTAGAATGTAGGATTAGTTTTCTGGCCCTACTTTTCGAACTACAATGATGTGCTGATGCAGTTGGAGGGCAATGTCAATACCATGACCCTGCTGCTCCTCTGTAGTGTGTAAATGTGTGCTGGGATGAGAAATGTTCTGAACACGAATACTCTACAGCATTAGTGAGTGGGAGTATAGTCACATATCCGAACTATGTGGAAGTGTATGGGTTCTGTTAAATAACTCAAAGGTATGCACCACTAAGTGAAGCCAGAGGCTTGTGCTAACTGAGCCAGTGGTTGGCCACCAGAGGTGTGTGGTCCACCTGGGCTGCTGCAGGCATCAGTAGGTGAACTGAGCCTGGTTCAGCTCGTATTATTTCCGCCATAACTCTTCATCCAAAGAGGAAGCCAATGGTCTCATATAGGACCTGCAAAATCAGCTTAAACGAACATACGTGTGCACAGTGCAGTGTTTCCCGTTGGAGATGAGTAGCACAGAATATCAAAGAATGTTAAGAACTGAAAGCTAGTATTAAATGTTGTTAGATTTGTAATTTTGTAATTTTTTCTACCATCAGACACTTGATTTATTATTAGTATAAATTTTGATTTTCTACTTATTATTTTATTTCTTATTTTTCGGCTTCTTTGTTCATATATTTATAAAATGCATTTTGCAGAGTTTCTTTAACAATGGTATTGAAAAAAGAATTGTTTTGGTATCATCATAATGGCACTAGTATCTAAAATGATACCCATGCATAGCCTAGGCTGGGTACTCTTGTACATATCATGGTTGGTGAAGAACATGTGACTGTGGTGGTGAAGTTATAAACTGTACAAAAATATAATTTTTTCCTCCCATCCTTGTGGATTCAACCACCATAAATAAACTCTGCCGTGGGCAGATGATGTCAAACTAACCTGAGAGGAGATAACACATCTGGTTAACATGAACTGCTGTGCTCCCTGGAGACCCATTTGTCAGCACAAGGATGGTTTAATGATATCAGGCAGAAAGCCACATACAAGTTGGCAGTGAACCACAGGGGCAGTTTGGCAGCGAGAGGTGGGTCATCTGCCAGTCTGGAGAAGATGCAGCCACCTGCACAGTCCACAATTCATGTGTCATGGCAGGGTGACACTTTTATTTTGGTTGATAACCATTCCTACAACAAAACTAAGGTATACAATGTTGTGTGTAATACCTTTCACCTTGAGTCACGGTCACTCCTCAAATCTACCATTGATGGTGTTGCACTCAGCTTGAATGAGAAGTTAAAATCCTGTCTACTTTTACAGCCTTGTGTACCTGGCCAGTTACTACGTAAAGTGAGCACACTTTTGGAAAATACAAGCACATCATTTGAAGTATACAACATAAGCATTATTACATTACAGCACATCACCAATCTGTTATATGGAAGACTTCTAATTATCCAAAGTACAGCTAAAACTTAACTCGTTTACTCACAACAGTGGTTTATGTTGTAGCTGTTGCTTTCTTTGTTGCAGTTTCTCTTGAAGGAATCATCATCTTTCCTGTCTTTCTGACTTAAGATACTTAAGGGACAGTTCACCCTAAAATCAAACCGTTTTGCTTTTCTACCAAACTCGACTCACCAACCCTATCTACATGAAACTGCTCACAACAAGGTCGGTGGATTATCTTGACCTAACCTGGTCATGGTTTCTGTAAAGAACAAATCCATTTTTCTGTGATATCTCCACAACTCAGAAACTCACACCTCATTATTCAAAATGATTCCCACGCTGCATGAGGTACACAGTATAATAAGATAGAGTAAGAGGCCCAGTGTGTGGGTTGGTGGTACTTTGCCTTACCACGTGGGTTGGTTGGACATGTATGCGTCTCATCTGCCAGTAAAAATAATGTGAAAAAAGAGGCTTTAGTAACATTAGTGATAAGCACATCCGTAGAACAAAAAAGTTCTGATTTGGAACTTTGTCTGAACTTGGGAAAATAGCGGGCCAAGTATAGACTGACACGCACCAACACTAAGGCAAGGTTAAACTCCCTGCAATATCTGCCAACTAACGTCTCTAATTGACAGCTCAAGGCACTCACTGTTCTTTATTCCACAGACATTCACAGATCTAATTAACAAAACCATCAGCCTGTCTTTTTCCTTGTGATTAGCGGGAGTTTTTTTATCTCAAAGAGTTGGAGTCTGGCAGTGTCTGACTGCTACTTGGCAAAGGGTCACTGAAACAGAGAGCTACAAAGATCAGCTCCTCCCCCACAAAAAGATACAAAAATAAAACACACCAGGACTAGTGAAGGTGAGAATGGAAGTGTGAAGACATGTCACTGCGGAGGAGCAAAACAGCAACAACTCCTCCATGACCACCACACCTTTTGTTAGAAAGATAGATGAGCAGAATGGAAAACTCTTTCTCATTATCTATTTAATTGAGAGTGTCATTGACTGAAAGATGTTTGGCCTTGAAGCCAAGACTCTCCTTGATGGTGACACAAAGGACCCAAAAAAAGGGGGGGAAGTGACATTGTGAATGCTCATTCCTTTTCCAAGATTTTCAAGGGGTTTAAGTGCTGGGGTTTAAGATTAGAAATATGATTCAACAAAGTTGAAGGCAGGAAAGGTAAAGGCCTTGGGTGTAAGCTATAACAATGATAATAATTAATAATAATAATAGCTTTATTTGTATTACACTTTTCAGTGCAGGTAACAATTATATACAGTGCTGAAACGATTCCTTGAGAAACTCAATTACTAAAAATCATCACTGAAAATTCTTTGCATAATCCATATAGAGCCATATAGCACACTTTGTTTTCAATGAATGATTATTACACACTATCAAGACAGAAAATAGCGAGGGACAAGAGAAAGCAACAAAAAGGGTCCAAAATTTAAGTTCAATCTGAGACACAATGAAAACTCTGTACGGAGTCTGTTGTAAAACCGAACTAGCCTAGCACAATAGCACAACGTCAATTACTTCACTGTGAAATTGTTTTTCAGGTAAAAAATATCACAATCGATCGATCATGTGATCACGTGAGGCTTCCAGGTCCACAAAAGTAATTTAAATGATTCAAAATTGATCCGAAGGCAGCCAGTGCAAGGATGCTAGAACAGGTGTGATGAAGCACTTAGGACTAACTGTAAGCTGTGGGTTGATTTCTGACTGAGGTATATAGGGAATTACAGTTGTTGAGGCAGGAGGAAAATAAAAGCATGGAGCTTTTAGCTGAAATAGCTGAAATAAAAGACTTAACCGTAGCTATATATCTCCAATGATAAAAACATGACTGAACATCTTTATTTAGATGGAGTTCGAAACCAAGTCCTGAAAATAAAGTGACATCTGATTTTGTGAGGTTAAATTGGAGAAAGTTGTCTGACATCCAGTATTTTATTTCAGCAAGGCAGTTGTAGAGGGTTGCCGACTGGTTGCCGACTGGTTGCCAACTGACTGGAATATAGAGCTGTGTGTCATCAGCATGACGGTGAAACTGTACACTATATTTGCATATGAAGCCACAAGGAGGCACATATAGCTTAATGCCGCATTAAAATGATTAACTCTACCAACAAAAAAAGCCTGGTCTCTAAAAAACACTGAGGTGTAATTGTATTCATGTACTATAATGGTTCACATGATAAATTCAGCACTAATTCTGTCAGTACTACAAGTCATGTCATACTCACTGCTGTCATATGTCAAACTAAAAATAAATCGTCTGTTCAGGAAGTGTTGAGTTTCACTGACAGTATCTTAACAGAATTTAAATATGACAAAGCAGACAATTGGTTCCATATTAATTTGTATTGTGGAGAAACTGTTGAGTTGACAGTACAGAAAACAAGGAGATGTCTTATTAAAATATGATCAAATATACCTACAGTAATAAGGCCTTTCTCTAATATACGCTTGCTTCTCTCTGCTGTTAAAGTTAATAAAAGCCCTGGCCATGATTTAAGGAGTTACAGCATTATGGTAACAGTCCATATATGTACAATGAGATGAATAGTGTGCACTCCACTCACCCTGCTCAGACCCATGTGGTAGGTGCTTTTCTCCAGCTCCAAGGACTCCAGCAACTCCTCCACAGCCTGGAAACCAGCAGAACAAACAGTCAGTACACAGATAAACACAAACAACCACCATTTGCCCTAGGCCTTACCTCCACATGATCACATGACCTAGATGCCCAAAAGGAAGCTGGCTTGGTGCCATAGCAACAAACACCATTCTCCCTTAACACCAGCTAACACAAACACAAACACAAACACACACATACACACACATACACACACACCTCCCCCCAATCTGCCTCTGGGGACTTGAAAGCACAAAACAAGTCAGACAAAGAAGCTTCTCAGGTCCTGTTTCTGTCAGGTTTCATCTATCGTGTCAACTTAACCTTTAGAAGACAAACTGCAGATTGTTTGGTAGCTGGGGCTCAACTTGGAGGCTTTTTAGTAATAATGATAGAAATAAGTGTTAATAATCGAAATATCTGAATAATAATTTGTTAAAACTGAGCTGTAACAGGGTTCAACAGGTTAAAGGTAAGAATTAAGACCTTTTAAAGACCATTATGATTGCAATTTAAGACCTATTTTACATCCATATTGGCAAAAAAAAAGAAAAAAGAAATGATTGTATGGTACAAATCCCAACAAGTCACATTATCATGCTTTTAATTGGTTTCAGTGGAAATCTAAATTGTGATGCAAAAATGATCATTCCAACCAGTCTGATTTTGTATTTGGTACAGCATGATCAATAAACATTTTTCCCAAAAATAAATTTACTTCCCATGAGGGGACCCTTGATGTTGCAATAGATATTATATTCCATAATAGGAAAGTGTTGAATTTGGTCTTAGAGCCTTACCAGTAATAACATTTATTTATTATCAAAAATGGATGGAATGGTTTGATATTACAAAAATTTTAATGGTCCAGTGTGTAGGATTTAATACCCTCTATCGGTGTAGTTGCAGATCCCTCCCTCGCTTCACCCCCCCTTCTAAGCACAAAAGGAGAAACTATAGTGGCAGCAGAACGCATGAAAAACACTAATGCCCTTATCTACAGCCAGTGTTTGGTTTGTTAGTTCTTGGCTACTGAGGAAACATGGTGGTACAACATGGTGGCCTCCATGGAAGGTTTCTTGCTCCCTCTATAGATAAAAACATCTGATTCTAAGGTAACCAAAACACAATGATTCTTATATTTAGGTGATTATACACTAATGAAAACATAGCTACGAATATTATATTCCATTTCTGATGATAGATCGTCCTAAATGTTACACACTGGACCTTTAAAGATTATAAGATGAAGCATGATCATTTTAAAAATCACATCAATTGGGCACCCACTGTGAACTTCTGGCAAACTGCTCTTCAAGGGTGATGTAAGACTGCACTATATAGTGAGTACAATTCACTGTATGTGCATGTTCTATCAAACTTTTTATTGTTTGGTTTTGTCCATCGTTTCCATCTCTTATGATAAAACTAACAAGGCTGACTAACTGGGGGTTTGTTTAAAATTTCTCTAATCTTTTGATTGCTCATGTTTCCTGCCCCAGACTTCACTGTGTTCCCAGATCTCAGTTATTACCTTGGTAAGAACAACATTATTACAAATGGGAATGATGAACAAAACTACTAAAATACAATTCAAGTTAAACCAGACTTGTCTCCTCCGAGTTCCCAACTTCAGATTTCTCATTCTGATTCAAGGTTTTGGTCGATGCAAACGAGTGAACATAAGATTGTTTTAGTTTTTCCCTAATGAAAAGGTCCAAACCTGCTGCGTATATCAGCCAACAGGTTAAGGTATGTGTTCCTCATTTGAAAAAAACGCTCTCCCTGGATGTATTTCTGCAAGTTTTGCGCCCTTGCTCCTTCTAAACGAAGAGTGGAGATAGGTCTACGCAAGATTTGTCAGCAGTCAGCATGGGATGTGGCATGAGGGAGAAGTTTGCCTTCTGCCAGAAATGACATGACACCAATTTCAGGGTTCCCACTGTTTCTCAGTCATTTTCCAGGACTTTTCTTGACAATATAGGACAGATGATTTTCCCACTATGTCCTTAGTCGAGTACAGTTGCAGTTTCTGCAAACAAAGTTTTCCTTTAATTGTAACATTAATTTAGCCAGAACAAAATACGCACCCAGATTCACGTAATCTGAGTGAGGGGGAAAAATACATAAAAAAATACCAGGACAACATAGATTATATACAGGTCATTGTAATCAATATCCAGGTAATTCCATGACTGGAACAGTAGTCCATAAATTTCCAGGTTTTCCAGATCTTCCAGGATGCATAGGAACTCTGAATTTATGAGGCTGAGAGGCAGCACATTTAGATGATCCACAGCACCATGTATATATTTGATATATTATCAAAAAGATGAGGAAGGAAATCTGGGATTTGTTGGGAGTTACAAGTACGTAAAATGTCTTTGAGCTATACAGAAACAAAAGGCTGTCTCTGCAACATCGCTCGCAGTATATCTAATTTTTTGTGCCCCATTTGCTAGAGTTTACTAGCTCAGTGGAAGCGGTGTTACAAGTACAAACCAAAGTGTGCGACAAACTACAAATCTAAAAAACCTTCTTATGAAGAATGTATAAATGGTAAATGGACCTGTACTTGTATAGCGCCTTTCTAGTCTTCCGACCACTCAAAGCGCTTTTACACTATGTGCCACATTCACACACATTCACTCAGTGATGGCAAAGTCCACCGAACAGAAACTTACTCATTCATACACATTCACACACCAATGTACGGCATCGGGAGCAATTCGGGGTTCAGTATCTTGCTCAAGGATACATCGACATGTGGCACCAAGAGCCGGGGATCGAACCCATAACCTTCCGATTAAGGAATGACCTGCTCTGCCTCTGAGCCACAGCCGCCCCTATATATGTATACTGCTGAAATTCTCCAGTGGAAACCAGGGCAATAATAGTGGGACATGATAATAATACAAATGGAACTTGAGCCTCTTAGGGACAGGACACTGACAGGAATTGTGTATGATGTGGTGGATTTTCTCGCCGCTGTTTGCCTGGTTGGTCTGAAAAGCTCTTGGCAGGTACACCATCTGGCTACTGACATCATGGCTACATCACAGTGTAAGAGGAACTGACAGAACTGGGCTGTCGGCAGCAAAAAGACAGGGCTTTTTGTTTGGCACAAAAAAATTCTCAGACAGGCTCAGCAAACCAATATTCTCTTTTTGTTGCATTCTCTTTTCCTGAAAACCAATTCTTTTATATTATTCCTTCAATTATACGCCCTTCTCTGTCTCATACCGCCTCCTTTCATCCATCTTCCTTGTTTTCTTTCTTCTCTGCTGTTCCTTCCAGACTCCCCAGACAACTGGGTACCATTAGTTCTTTCTGAGTGGGCTATCCTCTCTAAGCTCATCTGCGAGGAATCTTGTGAGCCACTTTCCTGCCAATGTGTTGTGGTGTGGTACAGAGAGGGGAACTTGATTTCACTGATCTGCTTAATTAATCCAGTTAAATCTTCTCTGTTGACAGTGGCTATTCATTTCAATGTCCTTTTCATATTCCTCATTTAAATGGCACATGCAAATGGGTCGGCATTCAGCCAGTCAGTTTTATAAGTATCAGAAAAACCTTTTAGACAAAAAACTTCAGCACATCAGATTCGTAAGACCATAATGTAGAGATGTTTTTCCTCCAGCAGCCCCACCTCCCACTCACAAGGCTAATCACGCCTTTGTGCAAAGCTGCTATATACTGCCTGAACAGAACGTAGAGAAGACATTAATCATATGCTCAGGGATGTTCCTAAACTGTTCTGCCTCCTATACAAAAGGAATGGAAAGATAATGAGACAAGGAAAAAAAAGTGGAAAGAGACAAGGGAACGGTGGGGGAGAGGGAGAGAGGAGGAAAGAAAGAGCTCTTCCTACCCCCGGTAATTAATCAGTACAGTAGCCGTATGCTGCCAGCCTGCGCAATCATAATTAATTACACACAAGAGCGCTCTTGGAACAGGAAGAGGACGGTGGAGAGAGGAGAGCAGGAGGAGAGGAGGAATAAAGGGATTCTGTTCACACTAGGAGATTAGAATGTGGAGGGCAAAGAGAGAAATACTGAACGTTCAGACTTTACAACATTCTACCCATCTTTTTTGGCTGGCAAAAGCTGAGATTTTTTTAGGAGGTACTCCAGTGATTTAGTATTACACTTCCATAAAGTCAGAGGATTTACAAGAGACAGAATCATCAATATTGATGCAGCAAAGGTCAAGCTATCCTGACTTTTATACGTAGTATGGAGTAAAACTCTGAAAACAATCAATCCTACATTTCCCATAATGCAAATCTATAGCATATCTTTATTAGTTCCTGTCTGGCTGGTAAACAGAAATTGCTTTTAAACTCCTCACCTCCAGCTGTAACACAGGGTTTGTAGTCTGTAGTTCTGTAGAGGTTGGTCTTTTATTTTAAGAAGCAAGTTGGCTTAAACTTTAAAGATTTTGACCTGGACCTTTTATGTCCCGATTATTATTGTGTACAAATTCTATTAAATGCAGTTTAGAGGAATCTTTTTGACACAGCTCAGAATATTGTTGTATAACTGTAAGACATCAGTGTATGACAATACTTGAAAATGCAAATAAACTGCTGATTGTGCACCAGAGTCAAAACAAGATGGCTAAAACAAAAAAGAAAAGTGAAAGTGAAAGTTAAAGTCCCCTCCAGTCAGAACTCAGTGTTTCTTCTTGTTCCTACAGTGTGCTGTTTGAATGCTGTCAGTGCAGAGTTTGACACTAGAAGGATGTTTTCACATTCATCTGCTGAAAGAGGAAAGTTTCTTTGTGCTCACTGAACATCTTATTTTAAGGGGCGGGGGCTACCATCATGATTTGTGACATCACAAATAGTTTGGAAGTCAGTCCTGGTCCAGTATACAACTTGTACAGTGTGATGTAGAAACTTAAAGCCACCAGTGCACATCCACTGAGAATGGACTTTACAGTGAAGTAGGAGACATCTTGTGTCCAGCAGCAAAACTTTAGAAATCAACAACATTTACATATTCAGAGAATCTGGAAGCTTTAGAGAGGTAGAAGGATGAGATTAGTTTTTCAGGCTTTTAACAAGATAATTTAACTTTTTATGTTCACAGAACATATGAGACACAAATAATTATTAAAAGTAGAGCAATCTATATACATGTAAAAACATGGAGGGGCTCTTTAAGAAGCAAGTAGGTAAAACAGATTTTGACCTGGACATTTTATGTCCACATCATTATTGTGTGTTCTGTAAGAAGATTCTTTAATTAAATCGAAAATTTTAAGTAAGGCTAACTTAATTGTGCAAGTTAAAAAACATCATCAATTAGCTTTGGCAATTTTAATTAGTACTGTGAAAAAAAATACATAATAAGTACTTAATCAATGTTTCTGTAACTTACAAAACTAAGTTAGTATCACAATAACTAGTAAAAGCTGCTTAATGAAGAATCTTTTTTACTTCAAATTTTCAGTGTAATCCGTTTCAATAATTTTTTCGAGATAAAATTACACTGTAGAAAACAAGGTCTTCCTCTGATTAACACAGCTCAGAATACTGTATCCAAAGGGACAGACTAACAGATGGTTGGTTATGGTCTTTTCATCGGATTTGTTGAAAATAAGAAAAATATACACAAAAAAACCAACTTCTTAGTTCGAATCGACAGCACCTGCTCCAATAATCAAAATCACACCTGTGAATAATGCATTTTTAACATCTTTGGTTGGTTGGGAATCCCAGAAAAGTTGGAAAGAGAGTTTCCATCATATCAGCAGTAACTGTCCAGCCGAACAGCCACACACACACACACACACACAGCCACACACACACAGCCACACACACACACTCTGTATCTCAGTATCACTGCCAAAACACTCACCCTCTTCTCATCTGTGACAATGTAGTGGCGGCCGTGCTTCTTGGTCAGATGCGGTGCCAGGACATCAAAGCGCCGGCGGAACTCAGAAAACACCATGTGGTCTGGGTATCCTGGAGGCAAGGGGGGAGCAGAACAGAGATGAGAGCAGAAAAACACCAAGGTTAGAGGAGCATCTGCAGCTAGTGGACAGCCAACAGCGTGTCACTGGTCAACTTTTATTTTCAGGAGAAATATAAAAAAAAAAAAAAATCCCACTTCAACAGACTTAAGCGCAAAAAGTCAAAGTTGTGAAGGTCTGAGATATAGAAATATACAAGGTTACATGGGTTTCTCAAGCTTTTAGAGAGCTACGGACAGTAAGAATACCTATGGGACGAGGCATTGGCACAAAGGGCTAAAGGATCGAAAAGCTTACACTTCTGAAAGAAGACATTAGAGAGTAATTGGGCATTTTGACAGTAACAGCAATGAGTCGAATGTTTTTGAAAACCTATTCAGATTTTCTTTTTCTGGAAGTTCAATTCATCACTGGATTAAAATAATTTATTTATTGACATCAGAAAGACAGATGAGTCATGAGGAGTTTGAGAGCTGGTTAAACTCTAACTTCTATACCAGAGAGTACAACTAAGATCAAACTTTAATGATCTCTATGAGGATATACCAGTGTTTTATGGACTTTAAATAACTATAAATTTTCCCTCACACCCTTCATAACAACACACAGGAAAAAAAATTAAGTTTCCATCCACTATTGATTATTAGGAGTTTGTTTCATTGAGATAAGCAGTAGGTGACTCCAACAGGGCATTAACATGATAATGTGATTAAAAAAGCACCAATTGAAGCAATGTCGGATTTGTTTCACTTTGTGCGAAAGGTTCCATCAGATCTGTGTGATCATGGATGTATTATAGAGCCATGGGAGGAATGGGGGGGATCGTCGTAAAGGAAACAGCTCATCGGTCGTGTGAGTTAAAGTTTTTGCTATGTCAGACTTTATTCAACTCATATGAGCATAAAAACATTCATTTTTTTAAATGTTGCCATTTCTATCAACCTTTTCTCATGCGATACTTCAAAATTTGCATCAAAATACAATGATGGAAACACTGCTCTTGAGTGAAATGAGAGATGGAGTGTTGATAAGTCACCACAGAGTTACTGTCGTTAAGAATAGCAAGTATGGCAGTGTCATCAGAGTACGTCAAGCATGTGGTGATGGGAGATGGGCTTGTGCAGCCATTGCTAGAGCAAGTGGCCGAGGACACAGCCTTGTGGAGCTCCAGTGTTGGTGGTGTTTGGCTAGCATTGGTCTAAGATGGGGAATGATACTTCAGTTTTACCAGGTTGTAAGAGTCACAAAATAAATAAAGTTACTAGGGCTGCAACGATTCCTCGAGTACCTCGAGTAACTCGATTACAAAAAATGATCGAGGAATTTCCTCTGCCTCGAAGCCTCGTTTAATTAAATTCAAAACTCACGTTTCGCACGAATTCTTTTTAGTGTGACACAATGTGCAACAGCATTACTAACGGAGTAATCAGTATTAAGTACTTTTCCCATCGTTGCAACGCCGTTACCGTTACTGAGAATGTAAAGTGGCGCGTTAATTGCGTTACTACAATGTGGTTGAATGAAGCGCAGCGGTGTCAGGCTTTCTGACAGCCACACATCAGCTGCCGGGAGAGGGCAGGGTGGTGATGATGACACCGTTGCAAATGCGATGATGATTGGCTGGGTGGGCGGATGCCCTGCTCACGCTGTCTCACTGCACGGCAACTACTACTATAAACACAAGACAGAGACAATGGCGATGAGCTAGGGAAATTCAAAGGTAGCGATATCAAACTGGAAGTACCGACACTACTTCTCGCTTACTGAAGTTAAAGGCAAGAATGTTTATGTAACATGCACTGTGCCCAGGAAAAAATACTTTATCCACGTCTGCCTCAAACAACTCAAATCTTATGAAGCACCTCACAGCAACACATGCTAACACGCCACTTGTTGCTGCTGCTAACCCAACCTCAAGCCCAGATGCAGCTAGCGTGAGCTCCAGTGAAGGAGACGGAGCCACTCCGTTAAAACAAGCAACGCTTGATTTTTCGGGTCAGTAACAGGTGGCGACTAGGGCCGAGCTGAACACACTGATTGCAAGGTATGTTGTTGACAACATGCTACCCCTGTCCATTATTTCTATGCATATGGCCGGCTGCAATCTGTTGAGTTCAAATAAATACCAAATGTTCTGAAATACTGTATATAGTGTTTTTATTCTTCATTCAGTTATTATAAACATATTTTACATTATAGAAGATGTTATAGAATGTAATAGCGTTATAGAACATAAAAAATAACGTCAGTTACTTTGCTGAGTAACTAATTACTTTTACAATGTGGTAACTGGAAGAGACAGAAGATGTCGAAGGTGTGGGATCATTTTAAATTAAAATCAAGGACAACATCGTGGTGTGTGTACATTTGGACAACATTTTTATTTTATTTTTGATACTTAGAAAAAATAAGTGGGAAACAATTTTGTTGATTTTATTTAATTTTATGTCTCAGGAAATGAAGTGAATTTGAATGAAGTAATTTTATTTATTTATATTGGAAAACGATTTACTACTTTACATAATATGTATAATAATAAATAAATGTAAATTTTTCTTCAATAGGAAACAAACTGTTTTATTATTAAGTGATCTGTCTTGTTTTCTATTGTATATTTGAAATTGGGCTTTAATTAAGCAAAAGTATGTTTTATCCGATTACTCGATTAATCGATGGAATATTTGATAGAATACTCGATTACCAAAATATTCGATAGCTGCAGCCCTAAAAGTTACCAGCAGCTAGTTGGAACACTCTGTTCCATGGGTTGGATCAAAAATCAACTAAAAGAAGTTCTATTCAGGCCAGCCCATACCCCATTTTATGGTACATTTCCCACCATGCAACCAATAATAATTTTTCATTTGACCATTTGAATTTTTAAAATTTTAAACCATCACTTTGTAACACAGAGTGATGGTTTAAAGTGCAGTCTCTCAGTCACATCCCACATAACCATGATGATATCGTTAGTTATGTTCTCCTCCAGAGCCAGAGAAACATTACACTACTGTTCTCACAGACTGAGTAGTACTCCTCTGTTAAATTTACCACATCGTTTAAATTTCACAGAAAACAACTGCCCATGATTCCATAAGTACGTCATTACCTTGTCTGTAGATGCGCAGGGCATCCAGCAGCTTGGATCCTCTGAGCTGAGCTCTCAGGAGGCCCACGTCCAGAGTCATAAGGCCTGAGTCGGGGCTCTCTCCGTGCGCCACGCGGGGCTCACCTCCTCCACCCACTGCCTCTGCTTTGGGCAGCAGGCAGTGGACAAAGTGAACCCTGGAGCGACGCACCATGTCAATCAGAGCATCCTAAAAACAGAAAAGCGGTGAATCAGACATCAGCGTCTGCTTGTTGACAGAACAACAACAAAGTCAGTGCAACAACTCCATGTGTCTTCTTGTAGTTTAATCCAATATTGTCTTCACATTGTGGTAGTCTGTGCCTGATCACAAACCAGCAGTCTACATGCAACATCCAATAGCTGCATGAAGAGTCTCAAGATTTTTTCAAGCTCTGCACACCCACACAGGTGCTGTCCATTACTCTGGCCGATTACACCTCTAGTCAGGTTTAAGTTGACTGGAGCTATGCTGGAAATAACATGATCATGTCATCACCAAGCTTGATGTAGTGATAAAGAGTTGTTCTTAACATGTACAACAAAACATTGTACAATAAATGCAGTTTGTACATGTCCACACTGTTGTGGAAGTGTATTTAGGCATCATGAATGAAAACACCTGTGTGGGTGGACTATGGGTGTGCATGGGGCATTAAAAATATAATTAAGATGTTTAAGATGTAAAGTTTAAAACATCCATCCGTTATCCAGTATCTATACCCACTTATCCTTTGGAGGGTTGCGGGGGAGCAGTAGCCGATCCCATAGTTTATAACAGTGACTAGAAATCAGTATTTAATATGGATTAGCCACTCCAGATCCTACTCTTGAGACTCCGTTCGTTAAATTCAGTGTTTCTCAAAACACCCTGCCACAGCTATAACACTAACACACTAAAACACTTCAAACACCCCAGCAGACTTTGGAGTACTGCAGGTGGTAAAAAATGTTAATTTAATATCAGTTATGCATGATTTCTAAAATTAGAAAAAATGTAAATGTAAGTTTGGCAAACCACATTTTATATTCAATATTCCTACTTTCAATATGATTGTTAAAGCTGCAGTAAAAATAACTCATATTTGCTGAAACTTTCTCTATATCCTGACAGTAGAACATGAGACAGATAATCTGAAAAAAATCATCCTAGTGCTCCTAATGGTATTTACAAGAATCCACCAGGCCTGAATGAAAACAACCAATCAGAGCAGAGAAAGATAGTTGATTGTTGAGTCTCATTCTCAGGTCATCAAATACAAACGCTCTGGGTCCTGGCAATGAGACTCAATAATCAACTTCCTCCAACCCAAAGCATCTTTTTATTCTTCCTATACTTTCTAAACTCTGATTGGTTGTTCTCGTTCAGGCCCGCTGGATTCTTGCAATACCATTAGGAGCACTAGGAGGAGCCAGAGGAACCTGATTGTTTCACAGATTATCTGTCTCATGTACTACTGTCAGGATATAGTGAAAGTTTCAGTAAATATGACAATATTATAATAATAGAATATGCCTACTGCAGCTTTAACTGCAGTGAAACCTCTGGAAAAGAGTTTGATCTCTGCAGTGGCTGTGATCCTCATCCTCACTGAAGCACAAGCTCATGTTTCTCACTAAACTGTAAGTGCAACTTATCAAAAAGAGTTCAATGCAACTTAAACGCCGTCTTAAGGATATTGCATGATGGCAAAAATTTGGTTGATGGTGCAACGCAGAATTGAACTTCTTTATAGAGGCTTTTTTTTCTAACAAAAATGTTTATAAAAATATTTCATTAATGAGAAAGATTTGAGAACCACTGGTTTTAATGAATCTGATACCGGGCCCAAAATCCTAAAACCTCTACAGGTATTGGAACCTAACTGTGAACTGGATTGAATTTCAAAACAGCAGTAAGCTACTAAATCTAGGGACTGGTAGAACTATTGAAGGATGTATCAAAATCAGGGCCTCTACTTTTGAGGTATAAAAGAATGGATGGATTTAAGAACCCAGGTAATCTTACTGTAAGTGCATTCTGAGGTAACTCTTAATTTGCTGGATTGTTGGAGTTGACTACAGTATCTTCCTTAACAATGTATATTAACAAAAAATGATGACAGTAAATTACTTCAGTGATGACAAAGGCCCAGTTTGCACCGTCTCCTCCACTTACCACTTGCAGTTTGACCTGGATACACAGGCTCTTCTTCTTGACGGCAGCCACGCCTGTGGTGAAGGTCTTCCTCATGCTGGTGGCTCGTCGCAGGGCGAGCTGGGAGCTGCCCTCCAGACCGGCAATGGATCCCGATAATACTGTGGCCCCACTGGCCCGGCCCATAAACAGCCCACTGATGTTCTTCCTGTGGTTGAAGAAGAATGGGTTGCATTTCTATGCACGCACATGACTGACAGCACATTTTCCTTTCTCACTGCATCAGCTGGTGATTGATACTACAATATACAGGGAGCTAATCTGACTGCATTAGTGGCATATTCCACTGTTTGGAGACCCATATGTTGGCGGGCTGCTCCCTGCTTCATTTGGCTCACTGTGTTGCCTGCTGCTCTCAAACTGTGGATCTCACTTTTTTCTAAATCCTTATGAATACTGGAGGTCTGAATTTGATTTGGATAAGTTTCTATTTACAACTAAACATGGCTATTGTAAAAAAAAAAAAAAAAAAAAAAAAGGCACACAAGAAGGTAGATCATGTATTAATTTAGCATTAATGTAACATGACAAACAACGATTCTTACATTCAGGTGATTATATACTAATGATATGATATACTTATTATATGTGTATTAAACCTAGAGTACAGTAGTATTTATTATTAAGTTAAAAAGGGCTTAGATAGTTGTAGCTGTGGCAGAGTAAACCTGTGAGAGCCTCTTGGATTCCTAGACCTTCAAGTTTCATGTCAGGACATATTTTGTGAAATCCTAATATAGCGTTTGTTCAACCAAAAATATTATACTAATAATAAAAATGCTACTCATACTAATAATACTACTGATACTAATGCTAATAATAATACTACTGCTACTCATACTAATAATACTACTGCTACTGCTAATAATACTACTGCTACTCATACTAATAATACTACTGATACTCATACTAATAATACTACTGCTACTCATACTAATAATACTACTGATACTAATACTAATAATAAGACTGCTACTCATACTAATAATACTACTGCTACTCATACTAATAATACTACTGATACTCATATTGATAATACTCATATTAATAATACTACTGCTACTCATCTTCCTCCTCCTCCTACTACTAACTATAATAATAATAACAATAACAACAACAACAATAATAATAATAATAATAATAATAATAATAATAATGTCATACTGTGAAATTAATATTTTCTGAGACGGTTATTGTACTGTAGAAATCTCATACCATTGCTACACTACTGCATTTTTAAAGATAATTTTTTGTCATATTCAGACACTTTCATATGGTGTTTGTTTTGCTATGACGTGGATCAGCATGAGGCTTTTCAAATGAACCGAACACGCCCCAACCTGTGACTAACGAACTAAAAGGTTTGGATTTCTTGCTTGAACTGTTCCATTCTTACCACAGACTCTGCTCTATTAAACTGGATGTTGTGTGTGTTGTGTGAGTGGTCTTACTTCTGGGAATCCTGCAGCAGTGTGGCAGCGTTCTGGGCAGCAGGGTTGTGCTTGGCGTGGCTCAGCCAGCCCTGAGCGTTGTACTCCACCCAGTCTGTCCCGTGGCTGTGGCCCAGCAGGAAGAGGTGGGGCTTTTCTCCTCGCAGCAGCAGACCGGCTCCTGCAGGGGAAATATTCCCATTATTCTCCCATTCCCCATGTCAGAGTGTGCTCAGTGCTGTCTGTTGTTCCTGCAACCTCCAGGAACCTTCTACTGATTGCTTTAGCAGGCAGTGACAGGTTTAGTTCTCACCTTTGTTTTCTCCCTGTGCAGAGCCGTAGTAGTTGAAGAGTCTCTCCAGCATGGTTTCCTCTGAACCTCCAGGCTGGACTGCCTCCTCCTCCATCAGCCACAGAAGGCCTCGAGCCTCATCCGTCCTGGCCAGAGTACGCACCTGTGATGGAAACCAACAGGAGGGAAAAACTCTGAGGTCACAGTAAGATGTGTAGAGAAGTCTTTATTCACCACATAACAATGTGCAGGTACTGAGTTCCCCAAATATCGAGCAAAACGTAAACAGAACATAGTTAAATACATTTAAAAACAACATATGGCTAACTGAATTTTACCGCATTTTGAAAATGGTTTTCCAATGTCAGACTCTCCCTGGGTTTCTATTTTTTAAAATGCTATACTATAGACGATATTTACATCTGTGACTTTTGGGGGTTTTAGCTGCTCATGGTTCTGGAGTTAATTAAGGGAAACTTTAGTATTTTTCAACCTTTTTTCCTATGTTTTTGTGTCTAAGTGACTAATGGGAACAACATTTTTTTAACTGGTCCAGTACTGAGCGAGAGCACTGCAGCCAGCAGCTGTAAAAGGGGCAGCAATGTGTAATCCTTCGGGGCAATTGTGCACCATCAATGTACGTCCACTAAATGTTCTTGTTTTTGCCACTGACAGCCTCAGATTTGTATTATTATTAAGTGTCTGACACACTATGGTATGGATCCTACAGAGATGGACCTTTTTGTTAAAGAGTGAGATCATTTTTGTTTAAGCAGAAACAGCAGTTATATGGTTCTGTTCAAGGCCACCAGACTTAAAAAAAAAAAAAAAAACCACACATTTTACTTTTCAAAATAAGGGAGTTGCCAGTCTACCGCTGCCTCAATCAGTTAGTTTATTCGTGTTCATGTGTCAAACTCTCTCAACTCATTCTGTTAATTATCAAGGTTTTGCGATCTCATTTGATAGGATTATGCATTTTCTCCCAAATTCCAAATAACAACATCTGCTTTTATCTACTGGCTTCAGTATGATCTCAATGTCCAAAGCAGAAGGTATTTTCCATCAAGTGTATTCTGCTCCATCATTTTCTGTAGACAAAAAAACCTGTGTGTACACTGATTCACCTTTAAATAAATACAAATAATAGGACTCAATATATAAAAAGGGCCTCAATCATGAGAAGTATTTGTAGTATTTGTATTGCTCTGGATTTTAGTACTACTTTTAGTAACCCCATAAACAGCCGATTAATGAAATCTCTACTGTTATTAGTCTATTCGTAGAGAGGCTGGCCCTCATTCTCCCATTGGAATTCTAAAATTTGTGTGCTTGGCAGAGATCAGCTCCTCTGAATAAGGAGGGGCCTCCACAAATATGCAGCCTTTGATGAAAATAGAAGGTTAACAGACTCTCAAGCCCATTCAGAATCAAAGAAGGTGCTGTATTGTGCTGCTGAAACCTAATTAGCAGCGAGGTGCAATCTGGATCCTTTATAGAGATAAATTCTAAATAGGCCTGCTGTCGTTTGACCAGAAATTACAAGCCACCAATTTAACACTGCTTCCTGTCTTGTTTCATATCAAGTGAGATACGGTCTGTTTGCCTGCTGGGGGTCTTCTGGTTTCAATTGGCCAACAAGTCCAAATAAAAACAATATGTTCTTTCTTGTTGACTTTTAAAGTATCCATGTAAGCATCTTCTGAACTGTTGCCTCTATTAGAAGGATATCATTTGTCAATGTCTTCCAAAACCTTCAACCTTCAGCATAGGTTCAATCATAAAAACTACTTGGTTAAATCTAAAGAACCCAATTAGCACTACACACAAAGTACAGCAGAGACTAAAGGGAATGCAATTAGTTTTGCAAGTATTTGGTCAGAAACCAAAGTATTGGACAAACTGAAATTGTGACCTAATAATGGTGCTAGATGAAAAGTCATTCAGCTAAGTTATTCAAATTCTTCCTATTGAGGATATGACTGCGTGTACCAAATTACATAGCAATCTGTTTTATAGTTGCTGAGACACTCAAATGTGAACCTCTCAGTGGCACTAGAGGAGCAGTTATTATGAATGTGTGTGCCAGCCTATCCAGCAGATATTGAGATACATTGCAGGATATGTGCAAACTTTGACTTGCTGGTGGCAAGTGAAGTGACTTCCATCCTATTACTTATAAATATCAGTACCACATTGCATGGCAATTCATCCAATAGTTGTTGAAATATTTTAACCTAGGCCAAAGTGATGGACCAATGGCCCCTGACCACAATGGCCGTCCATAGAGCCAGGCTGCCAGGATAGCTTACAACTAACCTAACCCTATCCCATATGACTGGACAACAGTTTATCTAAGTGACTTCATATGACCATTTACTCCCACTACTATCATTAACGTTTGGTTTAGAAAACTCTACTTGGTTAGAAACAACTACTTTGTTAAGGTTAGGTAGCCTCTTCATGGTTGAAAAAAGAATAACTTTGTCATTGTTAGGAAACGATCATTGAGTAGAATAATTAATACGACCATTTCACCCATCCACCACTGCTATGAATCTCATTAAGGTTTGGTTTGGATTGTGATTTCAGTCCAAAACAACTGATCTGTTAAGGTGAAGGGAAAACTTTAATTTGACAAGAAGTCAACAGTTACGAAACAACAACCTTCTGTTGAATATTCAAGTGAAAATCATTTGAATGAGCTCATCACTTTAGAGAAGGTAGAGCTTGTTAAAAGCTTATTTATTCGGTGTACTTCAACTGGATTGTCGTGTACTTCATAGAAAATATTATAACACATTTCAGATTCTGATTAAAAATGAAGCATTGCTCTGATGCAAAAACCATCACTGCCTAAACTAGTAAGATTCTCCCCGGACTATACTGGTCAAATTTGTCAACAATTTAGAAAGTGACTAATTAAAAGGACTATTTCCATTTTATTGTCATTAAAACCAGCTAAAATCTGAATATTGAAAACTGACTGCAAAAGTCTAAATTTCTGTTTTATTTCCTAGTTTAGGCTGCACATTGTCTGCCAACTGGATTTTTATTTTGGCAGTGGTTTGTAGTACACTGAAGTTTCTGGTCCATGGAGGCAATACTTTGCATTATCAAACATGATAATAATAAATAGAAATTGAATGCATCAATTTAAAAGACATAAATGGAAAATAAACTTTCAATTTCAAGAAATGTATTCATTTTAATATTGGCTTCCAAAGACTTCCAAAGAAATTATGTTTTGGTTTTTATTTACTTTTTTTAATATCTTTTAATGAACTACTGCACTTACGGCGCTTGAACTGTGAAAAACATAGTGTACATGTATGAATTGTATATTATAATGCAGATTGATTTTGTATAGATTTGTATTCTATTTAGCTTTGGGAGCACTGTATGCACTTTATGACTTCAAGCATTAATTTAGCATTATAGCCCATAAATCTGTACAGAGGCCACAGTGGAATGTTTTTCATTAAATACTTAACTTTCCCCACTATACTAACCTTCTTTCGGTCTCCTCCAAATTTATAATCTATGGAAATTATACACAGAGTTGTCCTATGTGTGGTAGTCACTCAACAATTAACTTCCTTTGACTCAACAATCAACCAAGAAAGATATCCCACAGCATCAAATATCGATGCTGGAAATGAGACTCAAAAATCAACTATCTTTAAGCCACCAGCCCAAAGCATCTTTCTATCTTTCTAAGCTCTGATTGCTTGTTTTCATTCAGGCCTGGCAGATTTTTGCAAATTCAATTATGAGTACTAGGAGGATTATCTGTCTCATGTTCTACTCTCTGGATATAGTTTCAGCAAATATGACAAAAAGTTATTTTTATAAAAGTTACCTACTGCAGCTTTAATCTGAGAATTTGGCTTCAGTAATTCCATAATCCTGCTCATTAATAAATTACACTACATCAACAACAGTTTAGGCCACTGTGCTTTGGAATGTATGACATGTATTTATGTAATATATGGAAACAGGAAAAATCTGAATGTAAAGTAACAGTATTTATATATAACAAGACTAGTTATTGTTGCATAATGCAGCAGTGTCATTCCAGAGTCAAACAAACATGGTTTTTGAATCTCAGATCAGATGGCATCCGGACACAGTGATGCCAGTTTTGCTAGATTAGCCCTAAAGCTGCAACTATTTGCACTTGCCAGTGGTGATGAACAAAGCTATTTGCTGGTCAGTGGTATTTTGGAGCACTTGTTTAGGCTGATTTGCATTAATGTCTCACAAATTAAGATGAAATCTCAGGCCCAAACAAAGCGGGCTTTAATCTGGACCTGTGTACCTGGACGCCTTACTGAACACAAACACAACCTTAAGATGTGCTGTTCTTATGTTTCTTATGACAGGTTTGAGGTAAGAGCAGGACATAATGACATCACATCCAGAGAAGCTTGAAAAAGAGACGGTGTGGTGAGAATTCTTGTGCTTACCAGAGCTTGGGTTGAGGCTTGGTCAATAGCTGCTACAGACAGTGAGGTACTGGACTCTATGTCATCTAAAGCAAGCTCTATGTTTTCCTAGACGCAGGAAGGGATAAAGGCTTAGGTTAGTAACCTACAGGAGATTGACTAGCAGAAGATGAGTCATCAATAAATCACAGATGTAGCTATTGAGTCAAATTAGCCATTACTACACAGATTGGGTTGTGTGAATGTTTGTGATTTTTTTCTTATTTGATTTTGCAAAGCACAAGATGATTTGTCTTTGAATAAAATGACTTACTGACTAATAAGATGACCAGGTTACTGACTACTGTGAGTAAACTGGAAAGGGTTTTTTTTAGACTGTCAAAAAGTAGGATTGACCTGTGTGTGTTTGTTTCAGAACATGTGAATATGCATGAAAGAGTTGGTGTATATTATGAGGTTATTGTGCTCTATTGCTTGCATACACAGTGTGTATATAGATATTTTCTCAGTTACCTCTAGTGGTATCTATCCACGCAGATAGTTTTGTTTTATTTAAGGATGCACGATATATATCCGGACTAATGCATTTACAGTCAGTAACGGGAAATCTGTTATGTTATTGTTATTATTCAGATTCTGAAGAATTATTTGCCGACAGTAACAACGATTTAATTCTTATGTTCTATAAAAGTATGTTTTTATGTATTTTACTCAAAAAATAAAAAATAAAAATCATACAAAGAGTCACAGCTGTTGCTGTTGTGCAGTATTTTAGTACTGTCTGGCACAGATTACACACTACCTTACTTTTGTCTATTTTTCTGTGTTCAGGGTTTACACTGGAATCCAAAATGACTCCAAACGTCTGCTTTTAAAGTTGCTGGTTTAACACTGCTGCTACCTGCTTCTGTTGCCATGTTGTTGTGTGGTCGAGTGCGGCCTCCGTCCGTACAACGCAAATCACAAAAAGGTGTTGCTCACCGCGCCCCCACTGGCCAGGGGCTTAAATCGATTCAGAGGATTTAATGAATCGATATTGAATTGGGAAAAAATATATTGCAATGCATTGATGAATCGATATTTTTACCCACCCCTAGATGGCAGGATCATGGGGGACAGAACCTGATGCTGTTAACTTGTCATATGCTATTGTTTACCTTTTTTAATCTTTGTTTGTTGTTGTTTTATACACATGACTTTATTTGAAATTTTTGAAAATTTCAGCTGCTGTGACACAAAAGTACGATTAAAAAATGTAAAACACCAATAATGATGTTGGTTTGTTAAGATTTGGTGAGCTAAGGAATATCATCCAATTTTGCTCATTACATCAAAAATGTGAAATTATCCGTTATCTTATCAGTATCGGCTCTAAGAAGACAGTTAACAGTATCGGCCTATAAAAATAACTCTTGTGCATCTCTAATTTTATTCGTGTCTGAGATTTCAGCTTCCACCCTAATCAATGAAGGTGAATGGAATCCAGGATAATCCCCAGACCTTGATGTGAACAGTTTCCATTTGCCTCCACTATACTGCAGTGTGGCACGTAAAATCTGACCACGTATGGGTAGGTACCACTAGAGGTGAGCAAGTAAATGAAAAGAAATTTAGGAAATGTTATGGTTGTAATTTGAACAAACCAACTATTTCAAATGGTCTATTTGACTATATTAAAGACATTTTCTGAGATAACAAACTAAAGTGCTAATATATGTATGTTCAGTCCATGGCTTTATGTTGTGCTATGCCGGCCCAGCAGCACCTCCTTGTATCGCTCCAGCTCCTGGACGAAGGTGCGTTCATGGAACAGGGTCTGTAGCCTCTCCTGGGTGTAGTTGTGGCAGAGCTCCTCAAACGTGGCCCCTCGCTGCTGCTGGGCCAGCCGAGGGTTCTGGAAACCCGGAGTGTCCACGATCAGCAGGGAGCACAGAGAGTGCTGACTGGACTTCAGAGCTCTGAGGGACACAAATATATCTTGAAGCTTTAGTGATGAAGCTTTGATACAGGGAGGCTGGTGACTGTTGCACATAGCTTGTTCTGTCTGTCCATAACCCAAAGACATCAAATTTACAGAGAACGTGGAATTAACAGAAAAAAGCAGTTGCAGCTTTAACGTAGCCATGTTCTAACTATTTTATAAAAAATGAATATACAATGTGTGGACACAATAAAAGAAACACCTGTAGGCTGGCTTGGTGTGCATGGCATCAGCTTATAAATAAACTGGCCTCTTACATGGGACTTTCTTTTAGGTACAGTATGTTAATTATTAATATTTTACTTCTTATTATTTAATTGCTCCATCCTTTTCTTTTTTTGTTTAATTTTTTCATTATGTTTCAGGTTTCATTATGTGATTGGTTTTTATGTCTTTGATCCACTTGCATTCTCTTACTGACTGCTTTGCTGGTATACATGACTGAGAATGTCTTCACGTAGGTGTGTAAACTGTAATCAGTGTTAAAAATACTCAATTGGCTTATCAATTGATAATCATATTAAAAAAAAACATGTACATTGTTCCATTTCCTTGAGATGGTTTCAGATGTGTTGTTCATTTCTGGCCACTTTTGAAGCCCTGACTTAGTGTTCCTTTGATGAATTGTACTAAAGCCAGGATTCATTTAATTACACTGAATCAATGTTCAGTTATTTTGTAATGAATTATTCAATTCAAATTATGAATTATAACATGTATCATATGTGAATTAAGGCTAATGACTGAAGATACTGTATGTAAATGCCGTATAGCCACAGAGGGCATTTTAACAGTGCACAGCCAGAAATATCAATGTGCAACTTACACAATTAGGACTGATATGTGTGAGTAATGTGTGCAGGTTTTACAAAAGAACTGTAGCAGAGGATACTGACAAAAAAGGCACATCAACAACCTTGACAATTTATAATAACCTGCAGATCAGCATTCACACTAACTGAGTGTATTTAAAGGAAGGAGCTGACTGTCATCTGAAGTAAGCACTCAAAGTAGCTGAATTGTCATGTGAAGTGTGAGCACTGGAATGAGTCAATTTGCTAAAGCTGTGACAGGAGTGGTACTACCAAAAGCATTTGTTGCGCCACGCCTGTTTTTCTCAACTTTTTTGAACGTGCACCACAAGAATTAACCAATCACCTCCACAGAACTTGCTGTACAAGGACCTAACAACATCTGGTTTAAAGGTCAGCCAAACCAAAGACGCTTTTAATTTTTTTCTGCTCACAAATCAAGCAAGGGATTTAAGGTGCCTGTGCTAGTTTACTGCTAAACTTCATCATCATCGTCAATCAGCTCGCTGGTTTTGGTTGCTTAGTAACGACAGGCACGACAGTAGGGCAACCTCCTAAGTGCCTTGGATAAAAGGATGAAAGAGGCACGGCTGGTATTATCCACGAGTTTTCAGACACAGAATCTGAACGTCCCTTAAAGGAGTTGAAAGAGGGAAACGGGACAGTTGGAGTTGAAGTACACTGTAGGAAGTTGGATTGGAACTCTACACAAAGTTGAGCAGGAAAGAATGAGGACAAAGCAAGGTAAGAGAGAAAGAAGAGGGTTGAAGTAAGGGATAAAATGAAAGTGAGGAAAAGAAAAAAGAACATAGTGGGAAGAAAGGAGGTATGACCTGTGGAAACTACACTGTGAATGCTTCAGAAAAACAACTCCAGATAAGATCACAATAATAAAGTAACATATCAGGATGTCTAACCTGTTAATGAGGGAGATGACAAGAGTGAAGACCTCAGAGTAGAGTCCGGATGCCATGGCCTCCAAACACTCCAGAGCTGTGACCTTAGAGCCTGGCGACAACAGATCAAAGACAAGATGAAGACTGTCAAATCAACTTCAAATCAAGACCCCCATTCAAGTGTTTTAGGGTAGCTTTCACTAATTTCAAGCAAAACATGAGGATAGTCTTTTCCTCAAAGCACTTTTTTCAATGGACATCCTTTATTTAAATCAGAATTTTAGACTTATCAGAGCAAGGGTACTTGCTGAATTGCTTCTATATGTGCGTGGGGGGGGCAAAATTCAGTATTTATCATCACATTAATAAATAATAATAATAAATCATCCTATTTACACCTAGTATTAAAATGTGATCTATATCTGCGGACATGTTATCCGGATAATAAGCGGTCCGATCTTTGCATTTATACCAGCAATATTTAATGCATTCTCATTATCCTCATTGAGATCAGGTCCCTGTCCTCCAGAGTAAAACAATGCGTGAGTAATTCAAGGTGGTGGCAAATCAGCCCCTTAAAGAAATCAATCAAGTTTCGTTTGAGTTGCTGAGTTAGGGCAAACTTTATAAATCTTATGCAGCACTGTGTACAATGTATTCTTAATTACCTGTCCCCTCTCGTAAATACGGAAAATGTAATTCATGAACCTGTACTTTCATGTGGTCACCCAAAACACCGTTTAATGCAAGGTGTAAAGTGGTCAGATTCACGTTTGGGTTTTTACCTGAGCTGTCACCCTGGCTGGCTTCGTCCGACCCTCCTCTGAATGAGGTGGAGTGCTTCAGTCCTTTGGCCTGGTGCTTAAAGATAGAGGAGGACAGCTCCTCCAAGGTACAGCCTAGCAGGTAGGCCGCCTTCTGGGCCCATTCATGACGGGCAAACTGCCTACGTCCCGCTGTGAAGAAAGTCAAAATGTGTTTAAAACTAAGAAAATATGCAATAAGGACCTGAGGAAGAAAGATAATGAAAAAGACAGGTTTAGACAAACGAAGAGGAGGGAGGGGGGAGGATGAAGAGGGTGAAAAGGGTACTCAAACTGAGATACATCAGGAGTCCTATCAGTAGTTTCTGTCCTCCTGCATAGTACTGTAGCTACCATGAAGTGAAAACACACTGTGAAAGTACAAATTCAGTATCAACCATAGCTCATCCTGTAACCCAGATAAGCATTTCTCATGGCAGGTCTGTATATCCAAAAGAGATATTCTCTCTCTGTTGCTACCAGTGGAGGGTATTTTATCTGGATATGAGAATGACTGTGGGAGTTGTGTGAAAACTGACAGCTAAGGTGTTGAGATTCATACTTGTGGTTGAGTGTTTCCATCAATAAAACATTTAGTTCTTTTTCCAACTGTACAAACAACAGGCCTGATTTTCTTGTGCTGTACATAATGATGTCATCAGACAGCATCCATGTAGAGGACAGACTGACAGGAAATGATCATGAATATGATGATCACACTGCATCATTTTAAATGACTGTGCCTTTTTTAACTATAGCCACACTGCACATTAACGTGAATACACCACTGACAGAAAATGTCAACACAACCACTGACAGCATTGCCCAATCCCCATTCATCTTGCCCCAATCCCAGTTTTTACACACTAGATTTTGAAAGATGTCTGGTTTACCAAGGTCTAACAAAATATTCTGCTGTGTTGCATTATGGGCTGTAAGATCTTAACCTATAACTATGTTATATGGCTTGTTGATCTGATTGGTTGAAATGTGCCCATGATAATGTTAAATAATGTTATAAGGAGTTCGGTCTAGACCTGCTCTATTTGAAAAGTGTCCTGAGATAACTTCTGTTATGAATTGGTGCTATACAAAAAAATTGAATTGAATTGAATTGAACTGAATTGAGTTGATAGACAGTGACAGACAGATGCTTCATCTAATCACCTGCCGAATTTCAAGCAGCTTTTCCAAGCAGTTTTCAACAACGACTTCCCAGATGGTTCTGTGTAACAAACCAGTATGTGCAGTCAGGTTAGTAGGATCCATATATAACTGATATAACTGAGAACTGAGTATATAAAAATTCATATATTCACTGAGCCCAATCTATAGCCCTGACCTACCTTTAAGCTGTCTTTACATCCTACTCTCACCCAAGCAAAGTGCAGATAGGTAACCCGGCCTATGAGCTACACTGTATCTGCTGCAATGGCTAGTTGAACTGGTTTCACAAGTAGTTTCATCTGAATGCCATGGCCCACTCAGTAGTCCTAGCTCCACTAGCATTACGAATAGCTACTCGTTACATCAGAAACTTTTCCACACCATTCTCAGACTAAATCATCCTTAATTACTACCCTACTACCCTACCCTCACCTCAAAAACTAAACTGCAATGGTGAGGACAACTTGCTTGAATGGCAACTTAAGTGAATGCCAAGACCTGGTCAGTTCAATGTATGTCTGGTCATGATGTCCAATTTCCAAAAGAATGTAGTTTCAACATGAACTTGTGGTGTAAGAGTGCAGGCAAGTCTACAGGGTCATCAGGAGGGTACCCTCTCAGGTAAATATTCATATTGAATTATTTATTCATGGAGAAACTGTGTGTGCACTGGCACCATTAGGAACAAAAACATGTGCATACATGCAGCCTGTCATGTGTGCTCATGATGCACCATGACACACACTGATGGTCACGCAGTACAGCTGTTGTTAACCTTCATTGTTCATTTTTTCAGGCAAAGACATGGTCATAAAATAGCGATTTGATGGAGTTGGCATTCTGGGAGTTTATATCTTTACAAAACTTGAAACCATTGTTTTGGCACATTTATTTTAAAGTTAAGTTATGTGGCGGTGTAGGCAGTAGTACCTAACTCATCAGACTGTGAGAGTGTGTCCTGTTGTTTCACTAACAGCCCATCAACATGCCCAGCCCCTGCAAAGCAGGCACCTACACTTACATCCTCAACTGTGGACTGATAAATGATGCCATTTTGTATAGAACATTCCAATTCACCGCAACACATAGCCTACTCTACAACGTTAGTTACTAGAGTAGTTACTTAGAGCTTGCTGCTGCTCTGCTGCAAGTCATTACTTAATAATCCCATCATCATCTGATCAGGAGAAATACAGTTTCAAAACGTTTCTGGTGAGTCTGAATGTGAAAGTGTGTTTATTAAGTGTATTATCTACGAGGTGAAATTACTGTTTTTTTGTACTGTTGAAAAAAAAAAAGGTCCATATCTGTAGGAATCCTTCCCTTAATGTGGTCAGACTCTTAGCCTGTCAGTGGCAAAAACAAGCACCAGCTAACGTTACATGGCAGCCCATTTCTCATCCAACTCTGTGAATTAAGGGGTTATTTTGACCAAACCAGAGTTGGTTATTGTTGTTGAAACAGTGGTTCTAGTCTGAAAGTTAGAGACTACAGAAGGTCTTAACTCCAGCCAGAAACACCCTCAGTGTTTTTAGTGGATTACGTTCAGCTGCGTTTCCTCCTGCTCAGACAGAAAATTACTCGAATAACGGCAGTTGACTATCTGGGCTTGGAGTCTACACATTTATAGCAGAAAGACTGGGTTACAAACTGGGGGTGTGGAGCTTTAAAGCTGTGGGCATTTACAAAACAGTGCAAAAAATGTGATTAAGCTACATTATGGGAAGCATAGCATAACCGATACTAGGTATTAAAAGTCTAGATAGTAAGCAATTGCTCCAACTTGCATAGGTGTAACAGAAACCCTAACAAATGTAGTCACTTGTTGCCACTGCAGGCATTTGAAAAGATAAAATAAAAGCTATTTATAATAAGAAGCTAAAATTGGTATTTTCCCAGATATGTGGTGGAGAGCAGACTGAAAACAAACCGAACGACTCAGATTTAGACTGCTAATCACTGTTGATCATGTCCTGACTCCGTCTGTGTTTGCATGAATGTCTGTATGAGGAGTGCATCTCCATTTGGTCTGGAGGCAATTCAAAGCCAATGTGTTAGAACGAACCAAGGCAACATGACAGCCTGCACAGCCAGCCAATCAAAAAGCTTAGACACAGAGCCAAAGAATCAACAGGAGCCTCTGCCAAGCACAAACTTCATGGGGATACACAGGGTAAGCTGGGAAATACGAGTTGTGTGGTAAGAAAGTCAAAACACTGACTAGAGAATGAACAAGCTTTACTCTGCTTTTGAGAATGTGTTGTAGTGTGACAGCAGCTTGGGAGCTGAATGTGGCCGACACAGGGTGGCATCACAGAGAGCAGTTTAAAGGGACACCAAAGTTCTGATCCCTGTGATTTTCATCTCACGGAACAGAAAAGGGTGAGACAGAGAGCGGGGAGGATCGTCATGAGGGAAACACGAAAACACAAGAGAGAAGGAGATGAAGAGAGGAGGGGGAGGAGGAGCAGAAACAATAAAAATGCTAATGACTTAAGGCCTGGAAGGGATGATAAAGGCATTAAGACAGAAAATACAAACAAGAGAGGCTCTGAAATAAAGTTTTTTAAGTGAAAAACAGTGAACAACTTGTGTGTGGTTTTTCCATTACCTTCATCTCCGTCTGCGTTTGATAGGGCGCAGCATGCAAACATGCAAGTAAAGAGAGGGGGTTAGAGATAACACAGTTCATGGTATCATCAATGCACAGTCACAGGAAAACATAAACATTAGCATTATACAACACTGACAACCCACCACAATGCTTTGGAAGAGCAAGCTGAGAAGTTAGACACCGGAGCAAATATTATTCAACAGAACCATGCAAGAAGTGATTGTGTGTGTATGTTTGTCCATGTTGCGCTCTCATCAGATACCAGGGTTTCCTGCAGTGTTTCATCGCAGAGGTGAGCCGCCTTGACTTAAACCACCTCCTCAGCCAACATCATAAAATACAATTTTATTAAAATATAACATTAGCTTTAGGGCAAAAGACCAAAGGCACTACTTCACACAGCAACAGCCGTTGTATTTCATGCAGTTCTAGTTTAGGCTATTTTTTAATAATTACACTGTGTGATAAGAAGCATCAGGATGTGGGTGGTTTACCGCCTCAGCTAAACAACTTCCTGTGGGAAACCCTGGGATACTGTTCATCTCCTGTCTCAGACTTTGCACATCTCTTTTTTGCTACAGTAAAATCAACAACTTGTCCACTTACTCACTATTTACAGTGCTTTCCACCATTTTCACACGTTTCATCAGTAATGAGTAAATTCACCTTACGTTAAGATTATCATTGTGAGGGAGAGGTCCTAGAGGTGCTTGGAATATGCATGCTTTATATCGGGGCTGTTAATTATTGGTCAGTAATAATAATATTTTGAATTCTCATGAACAATTGATAGCCTTTTGTTTAATTTAAAAAAATGAACAAAAAAATAATAATTATAACAATAGTGATGTTAGTTAAATTTGGTCAGATCAGAGCAATGGAATATCTAATCATCCACCTTTGCTCACTACAGCTTAGCCTTTCTTACCCTCTGGTGCGTACAAACTACAGGGTATGTAATTCTTAAAATACAAAAAATGTTAATTATCTGTTATCTGATCACTGTTGGTCATTAGAAGCTTGGTATCAGCATGTTTGCATATGTACACCTCCATGGTAACTGAGCAATGATTTGGGATGAGAATGATTTGTCAACTGCTGTTTCCGATGTCAAGAATAAACTTTAAAATTCATGTTTAAACATGAACGTAGCCATGTTTCCATCCAAATGTTTTGTCAATTTTGGCCGAGTAAATCCCATCAGACCTTTGTGCAGAGATCATGAACGTATGATGGGAAGTAAAAAGTAAAGTAAGTAAAATGTTCGCTACATCAGAAACTATTCCGAAAAACTATTTCTCCATTAAGCATTAACACTTTTTAGAAAACAGCCTCAAGTTTTATCTAATTTTGCAGATTCCATCAAACTTTTTAATGCGATACTTCAAAATGTGCATAAAAATACATTGGAAACACGGCCAATGCCCCCCTGAATGAGACCTGCTCCATAAAGAAATGGTTTCCCCTGCTTGGTTAAGAATAATTTGACCATGTAACACCTTTGGGATGAACTGGAACGCTGGCTGTAGGCCAGGCCTTATCACCCAACCCAATCAGTGTTGGACCTCAATAATGTGGCTGAATGGGAGCAAAAGCCTGCAGCCAGGTTCCAACATCTGCTGGAAAGACTTCTCAAATCTAAAAAAAATCTGCATTCTTCACACATCAAATTGAAAAACGTGTGTGAGATTAAAAACCTGGAGTCCTAGTTGCTGTTACAGTCAACATGCTGCCTACTGAGAGAGTGTGCATCAAATGTCAAGTCTGACATCTAGTGGCACTGGGTAAAAAGACAACTCCAGTCAAATGTTTTACTTAAGTGAAAGGGATTTGCCTTTAAGTCTGCACAGTTTATGCTAATTCGAGCAGGGCCACATTGTCATTAATGTTGAAGTAATGAGGTGATGGAAATGAATACATGGTTGGCAGGACAGAGAAGCAATTTGCTGGGTATAATGAATAATCCAAGTGTTCAGAGACAGGGATATGAGAATAAGAAAGGATGAGTAAGAACTCCCTTCTGCCCAACAACTTATCATAGGTGATTGGAGATTGGCTAAGTTGTATTTACAATGTAAACGAGAGCAGCACGTTAAGTGCTGCTTTTTTCTCTTTATTCCACTGCCCACTAAGTATGAAACTATTTGCAAAGTTGTTGTTGACACAGTTTCAGAGTCACGTTATTTCAACTCTATGGTCTCTGTTGATGACACTGTAGTTAGTGGTGGTGTTGGATAGGACTGCAGGATAATAACACCAACTGTTATTTTAATATAGCAGCAACAACTATTAGCCATGTAAAGCTATAGCAGAGTGATGGTGTCACAGGTTTTAGTCTGTCTCACTTTGCTCTTTGTTCGTAAATGTGGAAAATGTGCAGTGTTTTTTGAGTGTTCTGTCAAGTGTTGTGTCAAGTTTGTCTTGGGCCACCCTGGTCTATACTGGTCAACTCCTGCTATATCTAATATTATATGGGTTTACACTTGCATATCACGTATGGTGTACTGTCTGCAAGATACTTGTAATACCTGTTGTGGTGGAAAAAGCTATGATTTTTCATTTTCATCTCTCTATGAATTATCAATATCAATGTCTTAAAAGATAATAATAATAATAATTACGGGGTTGACATCCTCTGTCTACCTCTGCCACAGGTTTTAGATACGTTTTTCATTCATATGAGATGAATGAGTGTGATCCTCTTAAACAATAAAAAAAAACATCTCAGACTGGTGAAGGCAAACTGAGCTTGGGATAAATTAATGTTAATTTGTATGAATAATGATAATCGGAAATTTGATTGTAACTTAGAGTCAAATGCTTACAGTTGAGTAAGGTTCATGAAGTCATATTACTTTTGTCATTGGGAGTTACCCTACCCGCCAATCGTCATAATAATTTAGTTTCCCCATACCTGATGCCCTGGCACCGCCTATGAATGCTACAGTGATCTGCGAGGTAAGATTACCATTTTTGTCTATGGAGTCTGGTTGAGAATGATAGTGATATTACAGCTGTTATCCGGTTAAACAAAAGCTCTATCTCTGTAGGAATCCTTCCCATAATGTAGGTCAGACACTGAGAATAACAATCTGAGTCTGTCAGTCAAAAAAACAACAACTTTTAGTGGATGCACTTCGACAGTGCATTTGTCCCAAAGGAGCTTTATGTTAGCTTACATTGCAGCCAGTTTCTGAAATGTTTTCACATCTAACTCTAATTAAGCGTTCATTTCAGCCAAATCACCATTAACAAATGTTGGGAGGACTATGTTTTGGTGAGTTTTATTTCATTTCTGTCCCATTGTTTTGGTCTGAGGTGCTGGTGCTCTGCTGTTACATCCAGTGAGAAGGGAATATATAACCTTTAAGAGAAGCCTTTCTGGTCAAGTGTAACACTGTGGTCCTCACCAAAGTAATATTCATCACATGGCTATTGAATTGGATGACATTATATTTTACTTCATATATTACTGTGTCTCCTCCTGCATGTACTTACTGAGAACTGACCTGAAGGGTCACTACTGCATCAATGTGTCTGTGACTGCATCAACAGTATTTGCTTATCTGGCTCCATTTCCTAAAGCATTTATTAGGTCTATCACAGACTGAACATGCAGCTCTTACCAATTCAAACATCTCTAAAATCCTCAGTTGATCTAAACCTCCTCTGCACAAAGCAAGAGGTCCACATTTTCCCCTGACAAGCTTAATGAATGGTGAAGTGAGCACTAATGACCAATATCTTTCAACTGTTTATTTAATTAAAAGTCTTGCAGCATGGGAGTTAATGGATTTTACAGTGCTGTCGGGTTTTTCTTTCCGTTTCCCATCCGTGGAAAATGCCACACTGGGTCATTTAATGAAAGGGGATGTGACACAGTGACTGGCATCACAGTCCTCAAGTTGTACTGAACGGTCCGATACAGGAGATGAAAATGAGAGGTGAGCTCAGCTTCTGGGATATGTTTTAGAGACAGACAAAGGAGAGGATACGCATCTATTTTGTTAAAGACATGTATTTCTCTAGTTCATATTTATTCACACTCAAATGATAAACCAAGATAAGTCTTAAGTTATCGGTTTGTCAGAAGGGATGCATGGTTTTGGAGATTGTGTCGTGGGCTTATTTGACATAAGATGAGAACACACACAACAATACCGCCTCTTTTATGGAGGAGGAGTGGGTCCAGCCCGGCTTTTAGGTCCTCTAAAGGATTTAACTTGCTGATCAAGAAGAAATATTTTTGTATAAGAGCTTTTGTTTTCTTCAGTCAGTCCTACCTTTAGTGGCTCCTGCGGCCCCCAAGTGGTAAACGGCCCCCAGGATGAGCCAGAGGGCCTTCTGCTCTTCACCAGAGATGCCCAGGACCTTCATGGCTGCCTGCAGCTTGGTGAACTGCTGCGAGGCTCGCTGCTTGTCCTCAGGCTGAAGGAGATGATATCAGATCAAACCTAACTGACTCATTTCTTCTTATCAAAAATGTTTGTTGTGAGTTGAATAAAGAACTTAATAATGATTATGATTTTTAAAACTCTCCAATATCGGTATCAGCCTTAAAAAATCCTGTCTCGGTTGGGTTATAATAGTGCAGCAAAATACATAAAGACCATGTGAAATGAAACCCTGCTTACAGACACGTCAGGTAAATCATCTGGTGTGGTTACCTTAGATTGTGGTAAGATCCCAAAGGCACTGTTCTCAGCCAGGTGGTTAAAGTGCAGCTCCGTTCTAAGAGAGAGGACGAGAGAGGCAAGATGCTGGAACCAGAACGCGTTTTTTTTTTAGTTTATCCCAGACTACCTGTCATTTGTGATGCAAGATGGCTATGATTCAAAAGCCAAAATCTAATTTTCCTGCTCTTTAGAGTAAACTATTGACCTACTACTGACCCCAGGAACGACTAGAACACATGAACTGTGATGCTCAAATCAGAACTATAATCATCAGAACAAGTTTTCCTGGAATTTAAAAACCAAAATCATGAAACAAAAGTTTAAAAAGTTTAAAATGTATGAAAAACAAAGTGTGACATATTTCAATACTTCATTCAAATGCTGCGAGAGGAAATCACCTCAGGCTGTTGTCGGCTCCGGCCATCATGTAGTAAAAGACATTGAAGGTGGACTCTGCCTCAGGTCGTCGGCTCACCCTCAGTTTCTCCAGCAGCATCGTCTACAGAAAGAGACAACAGGAGTCAGACAGAGTCTTCTGTGGATAAACACAGCACGGTACAGGGAGGTATGAGTGAAGTCTCAGTTTTATTCTGCACACTCTCTCTGAAACTATATGCTTTCTGTTAGTTTTGATGTTAGTTTAGAACTGTTGCAATGTAAAGCTCCTACAAGGAATTCTCCTTTTTCTGTTGATTCTGGCGGCCCCTGTGGACAAGAGTGGTAGTGTTTTCACTGCTTTGTTTCATTGATTTCAAGGGGAATCAACAGTTTTCTCTTTGATGGTGTTGTTTGTTTATGTAGGTTATATAGAGGCATCTGGCCTCTATAGAGTTGCCCAGCCTGGTTGAGGCTGTTTAAGTAGTATGTTTAAACTAATAGCACAGGTATTAGTATTGTATGTATGAAATGAAGGCATTCTGAGGGCAGCTGTGTGCTCACATATTTCCACTGTGACTGTGTATAAATTGTGTGTGCGTTACCTGGATAGAGGCGGAGGCCACCTGCCCGGTCTGGTCAAAGTCGAGGGACACTACGTGGGAGAAGCGGCTGGCGTTGGTATTCATAGACGTGGAGCTGTTGCCAAAAGCCTCCAGGATGGTGTAGACGGCCTGCCATTTCTCAGCTGCATCACCCAAAAAAAAAAAAAATAGTCTAATCCATAATTCAGTTAATACTTGAGTAGTTAATGCAACATATTACATCCTTGAATAGGGCTGTATGTGGCAATAATCTGGCCATAAGATACGTATCACGATACAGAGGTCACGATTCAATATACTGCAATACTGTAAGCATGGTGATATATTGCAATTCAAAACACAACTGTCATAGTATAAAGAACACAGCATATGCATAAAAGAGTTTAAAAAGTTGACTTATTTAATGCAAGCAGAACAGTGGGATCTGCATTTGTGTTTATTACAGTTCCTGTAACATTCAACATCACAGCACAACTTTTTCTAAAAGTAAAAAGTAGTAAAAAGTTACTAAAATAAAATAAAAGTGCTTGCAGGGTTAAGAAAAGGCAACTACTGTCACGAATCTTGGCACATAAACTATTCATTAAAAATAGTGTTTTTCACAATCAATACAATATGACAAAGAATCATAAAGTTCCAGCGCATAGACAGAACCTTCCCTTATAAATTACATCAGAGACAACCGTGATGCTAATGAGTCTGCAGCAGATTTAAATCAAACTCAGTCAGTAACTGTACACATTATGGGTTTTACTGAGCCCTCAGTGTCACTGCTGTCAGGAGGGTTTCTTAGTGTCTCGACCTGAATTTCATGACCGACTGGACCACTTCTGATTTGGCATGGGGAATAAAGACTGTCATTAACAGATAACTCCAGTTTATTGCAAATTGAGCCATAAGTTCGTCATTTTGGAAGAGAAAACAAAGGCAAACATTAAAGTCATTACCCAAACTGTCTGCTTTAAACATCTACCACAGTTGATAGACCCACTTCCTGCTTCAACTTTGCCATAGTTGGGCGAACACAGTGGGAGATCATTGGTGACATCTCTGCTGTGTTCAGTTTCAGTTTTGCCTCCAAATAAAGTGGTTTAGATAAACTGTTGGTTTGTTTTCCGTATGGTCACACATATGTTTATTTGAGTCAAAGTCAAATTTAGAAAATTGGGGGCCATATTATAGACAATTTAACAATAATACATTTGCAGTTTGCTAGTTGGTGGAACAATATGCTGATCTTGTGATTCGATATGATTATGATACTTGGGGTGCCGATCAAATATGTATTGTAATTCCATTTTTTGGATTGTTTGCAATTGCTGTTTGCTTTTTTAACACTAGGCCATGGGAAAAAGTTGAATCATATACTCCTAAAGACTGTATGTCATAATTTCAAAAACAATGCACAACACATGCCTGTCACCTCAGCAGTATTGCTGCTACTCTGCATATACATCTGGTAATAAAATAATTTTTGAAATACACTCCTATTTAGCTGTTCCTGCTCATAAGCTAGAATAATATATATATAGCAAATGCATATGCTGCCCTCTTCTGGCATGCAGTGTCTACACCTAGTGGTGGCTGGAAACTCATTGGAAAATTTGAGTTGCAGAGTAGCAGGTTGAGTTAGCAATGTGAAGTCTGCAGCTATTTGTTTCCACAGAGAGTAGGAAATCCATGCCAGTAAGTATCATGAATGTATTAAAATGACTGGATACATTGGGGGCAGGCTCTGTTCATTCCTATGGAAGCTGCTCAGTGGCCAAGGAAGCCAAAAAAGTTTGACAAATTACCAGGATTTTCCGCCGGCTGAGCCTCTAACTAGCCTTCTGCTAACTTGAAGGAAGATTCAATTATTCACTTGTGCAAATCTTCTCGAGTTTTCAAATGTTATGAAATTCTGATAGTGAAACAAGTCATTTCGTCGGAGGTGTTGACGCTTAAAAATAATGTTTCCACTGTGTTTTGAAAGTCCTGCACAACTAAATGTCAGATATCTTCTACAGACTACTATCAGTCTATTGTATCTATTCATATATTTTTAAAACAACTCTGCAGGCTCACCTGAGAAGATTTTGCCAGTGCTCCCAGCGATGGAGACCAAGTACTGGACCAGGTGCTGGCAGTTGGTGGTCTTGCCGCTGCCAGACTTGCCCAGCAGCACGATGGACTGATCCTGCCGTGTGGTGAGCAGGTTGCGGTAGGCCGACTGAGCCACGGAGTAGATGTGAGGAGCCGAGTCCTCGCGCCGACAACCCTTGAACATATGCATCACCTAATGGGGGGAGGAAGAAAAGAAAGGGGAGAAGATGCACACAGCAGGGTGAGGAACACAAAAGAAGGGCAGACACGAAAACTGAGCCATTCAAATTAATAGCCACAACCACAGTTTTTCAATGTTTATGAATAACATATAATTCCAAAACCACAGCCAACCCAGTATATGCTGCTACAACAGTCATCTTGTCTACAGATTACCTTCTCAGAGTACATGGAGGGCGTGCTAAGGGGGTTGATGACGACCATGTTGGGTCCAGCATAGGTGTGAATGAGGTTGCCTCCGTAGCGCTGCCTCAGGGAGTGCATCACACTGGATTCATTCAGATAGAGCAGTGAGGCCAGGTCCTCTGATCGGTTGTAGGACGGAGGGTTGGCCTAAACAGAGAGAGACCACGATGATGCCATTCAACTAGCAACAGATAGATAGAGCTTCGAACCCCTGGACAGTTAGTTGAAACTGGAGCTAGTAGGTCAGTGATACCGTAAGATAAAACTCAAGCACTATCAAGCATGGAGGAATATTGACAGCTACTTGGAAAATAGGCAGATGGCTGACGTAAATAAATCAGAGGGCCTTTCTGATCACATACAGTGCTGTAAAAAAGGGTTAGGTTTCTGATTTCTTATTTTTTTTGCATATTTGTCACACTTAAATGTTTTAGATCATCAAACCAATTTTAATATTAGACAAAGATAACTAGAGTAAATATAAAATGCAGTTTTTAAATGATGATTTCATTTATTAAGGGAAAAAAGCTAATTTTAGACAAAGATAACCAGAGTAAATATAAAATGCAGTTTTTAAATGATGATTTCATTTATTAAGGGAAAAAAGCTATCCAAACCTACCTGGCCCAATGTGAAAAAGTAATTGCCCCCTAAACCTAAAAACTGGTTGTGCCACCCTCGGCAGTAACAACTGCAATCAAGCGTTTGCGATAACTGGCAATGAGTCTTTCACAGCATGAACAGCCTGTTTAAAGTCATGCCACAGCATCTCAATTGGATTTAAGTCCGGACTTTGACTAGGCCACTCCAAAACCTTCATTTTGTACTTTTTAAGTCATTCAGAGGTGGACCTGCCAGTGTGTTTCAGATCATTGTCCTGCTGCATAACCCAAGTGTGCTTGAACTTAAGGTTACGAACTGATGGTTGGACATTCTCCTTTGCCATTGCCAATACTGTTGTTGCTGTGCACCTGTCTGTCTGTCTCTCGCTCTCTCTCTCTCTCTCTGCCTCTCTCTCTCTCTCTCACCCCAACTGGTCGAGACAGACGACCACCCACCTAGAGCCGGAGGATCTGTCCTAGGTTTCTGCCTTTTAACAGGCAGTTTTTCCTTGCCCTCGTCGCAAAGGTCTTGCTCATGGTGGTACTGTTGGGTCTCTGTAATTAATGTTTTAAAGAGTTCGGTCTAGACCTGCTCTATTTGAAAAGTGTCCTGAGATAACTTCTGTTATGAATTGGAGCTATACAAATAAAATTGAATTGAATTGAATTGAATTCAGGATTTTCTGGTAGAGAGCAGAATTCATGGTTCCATTTATTACGGCAAGTCATCCGGGTCCTGAAGCCGCAAAGCAGCCCCAGACCATCACACTACCACCACCATGTTTGACTGTTGGTATGATGTTCTTTTTATGAAATGCTGCATTAGTTTAACGAGATGCACAGCTTCCAAAAAGTTCAGATTTTTCTCGTCAGTCCAGAATATTTTCCCAAAAGTCTTGGGGATCATCAAGATTACTTTTTCACATAGGGCCAGGTAGGTTTGGATAGCTTTTTTTCCTTAATAAATGAAATCATCATTTAAAAACAATTGCAATTTGTATTTACTCAGGTTATCTTTGTCTAATATTAAAATTGGTTTGATGATCTGAAACATTTAAGTGTGACAAATATGCAAACAAATAAGAAGTCAGGAAGGGGGCCAAATACTTTGAAGAACATTGAAGTGTGCCTATTAGCTATACAGTTCCTAAATCTGCCTGGTTGTCATAAGATTTTGAACAGGATTAGAATTGAATATTTAAAAATTCAAATGTTGTTTCTAGAGTTACTACGCACATGGGATTAGTTGACATTATAGAATATAAAATATAAAATAAATGAATGCAGAGGTCTCTACGAAGGTGGTCTTTTAGTTCTCTAAGGTGAGCAAGGTAAGCCTAGCATGCATCCCTTTTTTATTATTTGAATTTTTTTTATTTGATTGTGCCTGGGACAGAAAAAAACAATATTAAAACAAAGTATGAAACATTATCTACTTTTAAACATACACATTTTAGAATTAAATCGATAATACTAATACTGTTATATACTGTGATCCATGATGGACATTTTGTACTGTACATCCTCCACTGCCGTGATGGCATCGAAGTGAAAATGAAAAACTATAAACAATGTTCATGTTCGTGTTTAGTATCAAACTGGTACGAATGAACAGCGCGTATCAATTTGGACATATGAGCTGCTGATCTGGTTCAGATTCCTCCAGGTGCATTACCATTAATCATTTGTTTACCTTTTCTACATCGTCTTCATCCACATCCAGTGTTGTCCCATCATGCTCCAGTTTGATTCTCAACTTGCCCTCTGGCAGGGAGCCAGCCTCTGTTTTCACCACGGTGGCTGTGAGGAGAAACGACAGAAAACAAAGGATAGCTATAGGCCGGCTGCAAATGCTCAAACTCATCTGTTTATCTCAACTGCCTAATTAAACAGCTAAACTAATGAATGGAAATTTTTGGATTTTCTTAAAACTTAAGCTGCAAATGACCTAATGGATGGAACCAGAGCTTCTCAGGCCGCTTACATTGAGAAGAGACAACACAGATTTCAACAACCCAATATTCCACCCATGTCTAGCACTATGAAATGTTAAATAAATATGAACATTAGGGGTCTAACGGTACAACCTGTGCATGCACAACATACATTTTTGAGAGTTTTACATGGAAAGTTTTGCCAGCACACCAGTTCTTGTCTATCAGCTGTAGCATGCTAGTTGACTTACCCTCTAAGTAATATGCTGAATTTATTAGATCTGTATTTTCTATTATTGTGAATGTTTTCAAAAAGCATGCCTGGTTATAAAAAGCTACAATGCAACAGCAACAGACTAAATTACTAAAACCAAAAAAATGTTTTCAAGTCACAGCCTTAAGATATGTTGGACCACCCTGACACAATGTAAGGCTTTTATAGTTATGATTGTATATAAAGGGGTGGCTTAAATGAATATGACACAACTACAAAAAATTATTTTAAAAAGTAATCTTGCAGGCAGGGTTACATTTTTGATATCATCCTTGACCGGAGGAAAGTAGGATGGAGGGCCAGTAATGGCCCCTGGGCTGGCAGTTCACACCCCTGTGATTATAATGTATTATAACTATATACTGTGATCCTTGCAAATATGAATCTCTACACAAACAAAAAGATGACAGATTTGTAGTTTGTAGGTGCTATATCCAAAAACACTGCGCACAGGTGCTGGGTGGAAAAACTGTTGCATACGTGAAACTCTACAAAAACAATTTGTTAGGGCTGGAAAAATACTGACTTATTCCTACGGTTATTTACTAGCTATACCTGTTGATATGTTTGGTTTTATCGTTTACTGTGGCAGAAACCGATTTCAGTTGAGTGAGAGACACAATGCAATTCAGAAAATAAGATATATATGTACATATACACATATATATCGATATAGATATAAAAATATATGAATTCATTTAAATCTTATTATTTTTGTTATGACAGTTGCACTAAAAAGATTAAATGTAAGTAATTCAAATGGATTCATTAAAAAAAACGACTTTATTTACCAATTACTTTTTTAAAAACATAGTCAAATTTTTAACAGTGAAAGCAAAACTGCCAACAAAAAGGTTTGAAATGTCCTACGCTGGAATGTGTAGAAGGAGTGGTGCTGTATGTGCAAAAAAGCCAAGTAATCCCATCTCACCCAGGGAGAAGCCATCTTTGTGGACCAGCCAGACTTTCTCTGATCCATACCAGGCTTGCTCTGCTGCGATCTGCTCCTCTGTCTTCACCTGGGGGACAGAAGGGACAAGGAGAAAAATGAATAGACAGCAGGGACAAAGGCGTTACATTGGCCAAGCCACATCACCGGACCACTCATAGTAACACTGTGTCTTTGTGAAAACACCAGTGTTTCCAGTCCAACACCAGCACATGCTAAAAGGTTATGGAGGAAAGGTTGTCAAGATGATGACCATGCAGTGGTCTTACAGTCCACTGAGCACTGCATGCTCTTCAGGGTGGTGGATAACAATGTGTGTTTGTGGATGAGAAATTTCAAACCAGTCATTATAACAAGCCTCAGGGGTGTGTGAAGGGTGCTCAATGGCTAACCCTGATAACCAAAATGCCATGGATGAACACAAAGGGGACAAAGGTGAGGAAGGAACACAATAATAAACCAAAAATAATAAGCAAATAAACAAAGAAAAAGGGAGATATTTTTGGATGTAAAACCAAAAATAGCGCAAATAAGTCATAACTGTTTGTTTTAATGGGAAAAAATAACGAGACACACTGCAATACACACTGCATTTCACAAGCAAAGGGAGAGAGCACAACACGGCACAACACTCCACAGTGCAGGGGGATCATGGGATATGAGCTGGTGGTGAATTACACTCAGGCACAGTGCAAGCCAGACCTGGGATTGCTTAGCCGCAGCATGAGATGCCTGAAGGAGGGCCACAGGGTCCTCTTCCACTGATCCCTGGTGATTCGACCAGCATGAAGAGGTCAAAGGTCACAGTTATATATGAGCAACAAATGTTGGACAGACAAACATACAGACAAATAGATCAGCACACAGATAAATAGAATGTCATTGACACAGCTGTAGACCATTAATGCATCTGAACAAATGTTGTCATACTTATCCAGCACTCCTGTGAGAGAGAAATCAGGGTTACTCTGCGAGCATGATCATCTATGAAAGAGCAGTTGGATCCACTTAATATATTACACTTTTACTGCTGAAATGTTCAGATTCATGGAATAAAATGGTTGCATCACAACCATAAAAAGAGTTGGAGCACCTGAACGTAATAATTATCCACACAACACTCACACATGCAGGTATCCTGATGTACCGCTCCGTCATCATGCCAGTCTTTCATCCAAAAGACACAAAACCCATGCAGGTTGCTTCTATCAGCTTGATGGGTCATGAAAAGAAGCAGTTGGGTCATGCCAATGTGTTACAAATTGCAGCTTATGTTAATGAGGAAACATGCAAAGACCTAGCAAAAAGCTTCTGACTGAGTAATTCACACTTAATGGCTTCTGTACAAACACCAGCCACTGTTTAGAAAGAAGATTTTAGGGGTCAACAGCAGGTTTGGCTTTTGGTGAAGTAAAGAGTTCTCATTTTCATCTCTGTGTTTCCAGTACAAATACAAGTTCAGGACATTAAACCTCAACTACCATAAACACTAGCAAGAGCAATAGCAAAGGAGGAAACTGCTCGTCTAGCTCTGTCAAAAGTGAAAACATACATTTTCTAAAATCTCGATATCATTTTCTCAATGAATCAATTAGTTGTTTGGCCTATAAAATATCAGAAAATGGTGAAAAATATTTATCAGTTTTTCCCAAACCCGTAGGTGATGCCCTCAAATGTCTTGTTTTGTCCACCACCCAAAGATATTCAGTTTACAGTCATAGAGGACTAAAGAAAGCAGAAAATATTCCCATTTGAGAAGTTGAAATCAGAGAATTTGGATGTTTTTCCTTAAAACAATTCATTGCTAATCAAAATAGCTGGTGATTCAATTCAAAGTTAGACAACTAATTGATTAATCGTTGCAGCTCTAAAGTTAATTTATTTAAATAGTATTGTACCTTTTCACCTAAAAAGGTTATCACTAACACATCAATGCGTCAGCGTCAGGAGTTGTGGCTTTGTGTTACAGTAACTCCACCCATCAGAATACAGTCAAAAAATAGCTCCAATTCTAACTGCTCTTAAACCCACAATGTGTGGATTTTGCCCTTCTTTTTGGCACATTAGGTTACAAAATTCAAATAAAAGATCTCCAAGTTACTCATATGCATTTCCCCTGCTTAAACTAGGCTAAAAATGTCCTACATCTATCTTTGTACTGGATTAACAGAGATAAAATTAGTATCAATATTGCCAGCTTGTTCCTAGAGATTATTTTCAGACATTCTGTAAAATGTGCCAAATAATGCAAAAAGTCATTGTTTCCCATGAAAGAAATTCCTTTGCGGGACACAGACAGACATCAAATGTCGGCAAAAGTGTCGGAGACAAAATGTTCTACTATATTACAACCAGGTTAACAATAAAACATATCAATTAATGTTAAGCCTTTTAATCAATGCTAAAACAAATAATAAAACAATCCACATCTCATCCATTATATCAGATGTGGACACTGACTGAGTTGAATCTTATATCCTGTCAGCTTTTTGTATCGGTCGCAGCTTAACACAGACGTTGGAAATACTGCAGAAAAGGGAAATGGGGGGGAAAGTTAGAAGGATTCCGGGCCTTACACTCCGACAAGCCACACGAGTACAAATTCCAGCCAGGAGGCCCAGAGGAAGGCTGGACGGCTGCAGTACCTGAAGACAACCCTGGGGCTGCGGGGCCGCAGGGGCAGGGGCTTGGACAGAGGACGGAACACTGACTGCTGGCTCCAGCTTAACCACAAAGCAGCCACAGAGAGACAACGACAGCCAGCAAAAGCAGTGTGAGTAAGGCATGGAGAGAAGGGAGGATGGAGGAGGGGAAGAATGGGAGAAAGAACAAGAGAAAGTCAACATGGAACTTTGGATGAAGAAAATGCATGCACATGGAAACTTGACAGCACAATGGAAAAGTGAAAATGGCTTTGCAATGGAGTAAGCATGGGGTGAAAATGATTCCTATACACTGACAATGTTTTTTGAAAGTGCAGATCAGTTCACACAACTACAGTTATTGTTACTTGTTGACACATTAGTAAGATGTTAATTGAATGGGAATGTGCAATAAAGTGTGGATCCAGAGTGCTGTAAATTGAATAGCTTCAATCCTCAATAGATGGATATGGACTGAGCTCCATGTACTATCGACCACCAGGTGTGGAGAAATCACTGGAAAACACCTGGAAGGTGTTATGGCTAGTTTAAACTCAGGGCCTTCAGTATTTGAGTGTGTAGTAAACTTTCAAATGGGTCTACAAAAGCAAGCAATGGTAAAGAGTCCAAATATTTAACTGGGAAACTGAGATTCCCTTGAAAAAGACATTGCTGAATGGGTCTTACGTGGTTAAATATAGGTTAAATAATATTGCACTTTTCAAAAAGAGCCATAGTTAACAGAGAAGTTAGAGGCTAATAAGTAAGTAGGTAAGCAGGTAAAGACAAAGCCCAAGACAAGACATCAATAATACACAGATTGGCAGCAGGGTGATTTACAGGGGCATTGAAGATCCTCATCAGACGTCTCTGAGCCTCCTCAGTGGGACTGAGCGGTGCCTCCTACAGGTCAAAGCAGCAACACATTTACACTAAGCCCACTGATACAGATATAGCAAAGCCCATGACCACACACACACACACACACACACACACACACACACACACACACACACAGCTGTCATCAACATTAAGAGCAGTTGGGGTTATTGTGGAATCTGATTTGAAAAGACCATGTTAGCAGTAAATACAGAGTGAATGTTCAAAGGTGGTTCAACTACCATACACAAGAACACACACACACACACACACACACACACACACACACACACACACACACACACACACACACACACACACACACACGCTACAACTACAACTCTCAGGTTAAAAGACGAATATTTGCAAGACACAAGTTGCAACAAACCAAGCTGAGCAAGTGAATGAACAGAGTGAGCAGAAATCTCAGTTAAATCAACGCACAACAATTGCTGTTCTTAGGTCATTCGGTAGGTTGGGCAAAACCCTGATCCTAATGAAACTCACATATTTATTATGCCAATGAGTACAATGTAGAAGTCGAAGGCTTGTCATAAAGATTTGTCATACAAATTCAATGAGAGTCTACAAAAAACTGTTTTTTTTGCAACCACATCTGTAATCTGTCAGTCTGGGAGAGTTGTGCTGTTCACGTTTTTTCCTTGTTCCTCTCAAAGAATGCAGCACTGCAGTAATTGGCTCTACATGAGTCTCCTGTTATTGACTAGACAAGCTAAACTACTGAAGTTCCTCGTTTGGAGCAGTCTCTGGTGGGACTCTGCCTTTGTAAACCAGGCTTATGAGCAGCTTTCTGCTATGTGATATCTCATAGGTGAAAACAAGTAGTAACTGTCCCTGTCTTGATGATAAACACTGCCACAGAAGGGGGTTTAAGGCTCATAAATCTCATGAAGAGCAAGCTTTTCCTAAAATCTGCAAAACCACAAAAACCTCTGTCGTTTCTAACAAATAAACAGCTGGCTATTTTCACAGCAAAACCAAGTTTGTGAGGAGGAAATTAAGGGTTAGTGACTCAAAGGTCACCAGAATGGGAAATTGTGGTCAGAATGTAAACACATACTTCCTACTCCCTCAGCAACTACTGTTGAGGTGCCTTGGAGCAAAGCAGTACAAGAGAATAGTTGCTCATAAACTAAAGACAAGTTGTATTGCCAGCTAAAGCCCCACTGTTAACCAATCGACCATCCAACTTTGACTTTGGTCCTACCAACTGTGGCTCAAAACAAAAACAATGGCTTACAATGGCTATCAAGTGACTGTAGAAGTGTGCAACACTGAGGTTACACATACGTGGCATCCGTCTGTGGTATTTATTTTGAACATGCATTTCAAATGGCCATGCATTTTCCACACCAATGTCCCAAATGTCGACCAGACATGCAAAGTGTGGACATTGTACCTCTTGCTGACTGACAGCAGGTTGCTGAATGGGAATGACTCCTGGAGGGGGAGACACTGGACCACGATTGGGGCGGGGGGGAGCAGGGCTCACAGAAGTTGCAAGTGGAGAGGATTTAGGAGCTGGGAT